AGACATAATTTGCGAATGATGATGGGTCCCCGAATGGAAAGAATTGTCGGTAGATCTTCTGGAACTCCTCCTTGGTTAAGGTGCCAGATGGGCAGTCCTTAAGGAAGCCTACACAGCGTGCCGGCAGTCAGCGATCGGCTCGCAAGCTCCCAAATTCCTTGAGATGGTTGCGTACCTTTGTACCATTGCTGTAGCTCTTTCTTATCGAAATGTGTGGCTCTTTGCAGCTCGTCGAGCTGCGTCGGCGAGAGCTTTGATTGACTGTGGGGCTCAAGTCAGCGCATGATCTCACGCAACAGCGCGCTCGAAACCTCTTGCTGCCCCAAAAAACCCACGCAAGCGATATGGTCTTCCTCGTCGTAGGACGTTGTCTTGGCGAAGGGGAAACGCGCGCTCCGGTCTCCGGTCATCCGTTCGGAGCCGCGGGAGGGGCAACACAGGTAGCACTTACGACTTGCCCATGGTCAAACACTAAAATTCAATATATTATCGTCCAGGACAAAACGACGCTGCAAGTCCAGAAAGCGATGCGAAAACGAAAGCGGCGGAGATGGTGACGCGGGGTAGAAACAGGATGTGTGGCTGAGTCTTGGTGGCGTGGAGTCAATGTAAGGGGAAAACACACAGTGGCGAATATCAAGAGCGAGAGTATTAAATGGAGAAATAGAGAGAGAGAGAGGGCGAGAGGGCGAGAGAGAAGAGTAAAGAGAAGAAGAAAACAAGACAAGTTACAGAAGTGGCGAGAAGAAGTCCAGAACATCCGGGGGAGGCTTGGCACTCAATTGCATTACTTATATACAGCTCTACTTATACACTTAGTCCACCTTGATCGAGCCATAGATGCGATGGATAAATGCCCAACTAGCGAAGAATCCAATGGAGCCTGTAAAGTCAGTGAAGCCCAATTGAAGGCAGGAGACAACGTACCAGTTAGGATGAATACGACGAAAGCGATCAGCGCCGAATAGCCCACATAAAGCACTGCCCCAGTCAATCCACCGAAGCTCACCCGAGTGGCCCAGAAAATGAGGGCATTTACAAAGACATAGCCTCCGGTCATACCGGCACCCGCGAAGGCTCGCCAGTGCCACCGGTAGTTCTCGGCACAAAGCAGGAAATACACCAGAAGAACAGTTGTGGCCGCAGAGGTGATGATCATGAGACCGTAGCAGAGGAACAAGAATCCAAACATGTAGTAGATCTTGTTCGTCCAGAGAGAGGTCATGATAAAGTAGAGCTCGACAAAGATCGCACCAAAGGGGAGAATACCAGTCAGCAGAATCGATGGAATCGTGCGCAGGCTGCCAGCCATTGGGGGCACCTGACGGGGGATTTGATTTGTCTTTGTTGGGCCTTCGATTGGCTGAAAGGAATGAAGTTAGTTGCAAAGAACATGAAAATGAAGAGAGATTGAACATACCGATTGCTTGAATCCAAGCCAGCTGCCTGCAACGCTCAATGGCACGCTGATAACGAACCAGATCATCACGAGGGCAAGCATAGTTCCGAATGGCACAGCACCGCTGGAGCCCTTGGCCCACACGAACAGATTGAGAATGAAGAAGCTACCGAAGATAATTCCTGGCGTGAAGAGAGGAGTCATGATAATATTGCGCCTCCACGCTTCACCGCCAAACGCCTTGTATGCGCGTGCTGATACATAGCCGCCAATTGAACCGAAGAGGGCGGAAATGAGCAGAATAGCAGTGGCCAGGAAACCACGGTTGGAGGGGGAAAGAAGGCCAAGGAGAGCGAATGCTTTATAAGAAAGTCAGTATCAAGAGAACCAAGAATGAGAACAGAATTACATACCAACAGTGACACCGGTCATCATAAACAATTGAGCGCCGTTGCCCAGCATCACACTGAGGAGAAGCGGAGACTTGGGGCAGCGGAAAACGTCTCCATGGACCAACTTCCAGCCAGAATCCTCCTGGACTCCATCCTCAATCGCAGCCGAGGTACTATCCAGATCCTCCAAGTTGAACGAATCCAGTCGGTTGTAACGAGCAATATCCTTCTTGAGTGCGCGAACCAGAATCATGCTGACCATTCCTACAAGGAATACCACAAAAACGGCCGAGTTGATAAGAGAGAACCAATGGATCTTGGGGTCGTAGACATGGAGATATTTATCCCACCGGGTAGCCCAGGCAGTTGGCGATTCTTTCCAGTAAACACTGTATGTCCAGGTAACGGATGTTTCGCCGTCCTCGTTCAGCGTGAGAAAATCCCCCTGAGTTCCGCAATCAGCAGTCCCATCATCCAAGTTTCGAGAGTTCTTGCGAGACTCGGGCTGGACGAGCACACCAACAACGCGATATTGTTCCTTTCCACCAAAGCCCACCTTGTGGTAGTCAATCACAATGTCATAATGGTTGTTCAGCAGAGCTTGACCACTATCATCGAGATCACCAAGGGAGAAACCAGGGTTGTAGAACTTGGTCTTGGTAACACCGTCGTAATTCCACTGCGCGGCCGGTAGTCCATCTACAAGCCAGTTGACGTTGTAGCCTTGAGAAATTCGTCGATTGGTAAACTTAGCGCTGCGGGCGTCGAATTTGGCCTCTGCACAGATCGACTTGCAGGTCTCGTTCTTTGCCATGTGGAGCTCGAATGGGGAAGTGCGAATCCTGTCACCAAACAAAATGCTGCCCAATGATTCTCTGACATCTTTGGGGCCATCTGCGGGGCGACAGAACTGAAACGCTGGGTGATAGTAATCGTAGGAAAATACAGAATGGAGCTGGTCATCGCGCGAGAGACCGGGTGTCAAGTGGTTGACGTAGAGCGGAACGGATTGACCCTCATCATACGATGTCGGGGCAACACCGGGAAGATAGAAAGCTGATGTGAGCGTAGGAATTGCGAGGAGAACCGAAGAGAGGAGCGAGGCCCGATCGATAAACCACATGGTGAGTGTTCTAAAGAATACGAGGCCTTGTACGTCAGTCTCAATGGGTTGTTTAGGGTTGGGAATAGGACGGGGGTCTCGATGAAAGGGGAACTGGATTCATACAGTCCGAGCTAACACAAAAATAGAGAATCACGATCTCATCCGTGGGAAAACCACCAAAGCAACAAGGTGAAGGAGAGCGAGTTGACACCTGGACAGCTCCCCGGGGCCGGCAACGCCCTGACACGTGACCGATAACGATAAGGACAAAAATTTCCCGCGAATTTATTGATCTTCGCTTCTTCGACTTTTCAGATTCACACCGCAATCATGGTTTCTCAAGCGCCCTCGCGCCCTCTGGATCTGGCTGCACTGCTTGAGACTCTGAACACATGTCTTTCGAACACACCCACTTCTCTACCCAAGTCCCACAAAGATGCGCCTTCCGATGTCACGATCGAGCCTCCGCAGGACGGCATCTCCCTCCTTGACACCAAGAGCGAAATTCTGCTTTCCTACCTACACAATCTAGTCTTTCTGATCATCTTTCAATTGCGCCAAACCTCGAAGCAAAACCCAAAGGACAAGGCCCAACCCGCAGACAACCCCCTCGAAGACGATATTCGGAAGAAACTGATCGAGCTTCGGGTTTTCCTTGAGCGTGGTGTCCGCCCCCTCGAGGGTCGTCTGAAATACCAGGTGGATAAGGTTATCAAGGCTGCCGAGGATGCGGAACGATCTGAGAAAGCCCAGCCCACCAAGAAGAGCCGCAAGGCTGCAAACTCGGACAGTGAAGCCTCCGATGATAATGGTAGCGATGAGGAAGATATTGATGAAATGGCTTATCGTCCCAATGTCTCTGCCTTCACCAAGCAAGTTGCTGAGCAGAAGAAGGCCCAAACCTCCAAGGCAGCCGACGAGGGCCCTGGCGATGGCATTTACCGTCCCCCGAGGATCATGCCGACATCCTTGCCTACAACCGAGCGTCGCGAGCGCCAGGACCGCAGACCTCTTCGATCCAATGTCATTGACGAATTCGTCAGCGCTGAGATGTCCTCGGCGCCTATGGCTGAACCCAGCATTGGAAGTACAATTATCGATGGTGGCCGAACTACCAAGTCCAAGAAAGACCGCGAGCGTGAAGCCGAACGCACTACCTACGAAGAGACCAACTTTGTCCGTTTGCCGAAAGAGACTAAGAAAGATTTGGCCAAACGCGGTCGTGGAAAGGATTCCACATTTGGAGGTGACGAATGGAAGGGACTTAACGAAGGTGCCGACCATATTGAGCGCCTTACCCGGAGAGCCAAGGGCAGCGGTGTTGCGCTGGACAAGAGCCGGAAACGAAAGACCAACGAGGATGGTCAACGTGGTGATGGCGTGGGCATGGGCCAAATCTTCGATAAACGACGAAAGAAGGTCGACAGCTGGAAACGGTAAGCTCTCGCTCATTTGGCGAGCAATTCTCAAGTTCAAAAAGGCGTTTTCTGTGGATGATATTGATCATTATCGGAGTTTCTTTTGGTTGAAAAGTTGGTCTTGACCTACTACATACTTGTATCTATCTTCTACGATCCCCTTTGAAGCATATGATCTATTTATCTATGCACTCGCATCCTGCATGTTATTTCTACTCTGCTCGGTCAGGCGAGAGAAAGGCGTTTGGCCCGATGAGGAAAATCCAAGTCCGTTTCCCCTGCAATGGACGTGCCTTATGGTTTCCCTTCAGTAATTGACAGGCCTCAATATATCAGCTTGATTATACCACTGCCCATTTATTTGTTGCAGAGCATCCATCGGTTTACAATACTAAGAAATATTAGACAGGGACTATACATAACCTCCGAGGTGAACTAGTAGATGTGACTTGAAGGTGTCGCATAGGACATGTATCTTCTTCTTAATCTACCATGTTCACTTATTCTACCATATTCACTACTTCTACATTGTATCATTTCAATATGAGTAACCCTATGTGGCCGAAAAATCGAAAAGTCCCCTGCCAAGTTGGCTCTTCACATGTTAGCGTGCATGATGTCATAGCGTTGGATACCTTCAGGTATCTTGCTCGGCTTGTTTCCTTTCTCTGCAACACGCTTTCACAATGGAGAATCCAGGTATGTTTAAGACGTGCTGCTTTCTAACAGACTGGTACTGACATGATTTACAGTTGCTGAAATCTCCACGGTCATCCGTCTGCTGACGCAGTCGCCGCCGTCTCTGCAGGAGACTGTCTTAGAGCGGTTCTTCACTAGCAATGCATCTTTTGTCCATCCGTTCTGTCGAGTCCCTAGCTTTCAGGGGAGCCGATGGTGGGTTGCAAAGATCTTCCAGTGGTACAAGATTATGTCGCCCCGGATTGAATTGGAGATTCATTCGATCGGTATGTTGACTTACCTGCGACGGCAATACATGAATTTCGAATCTGATATCTTCCTAGCATTTGACGAAGACAATCTCAAGCTTTATGTGAACATGTCCCAGATCTTCTCGATCTGGGTGGTTCCTTTCCATGTTGCTTCTGCTCGCCTTACTACGGTCTTGGATTTGACGGTTGAATCACCCAAGACTGATGCCACGACTAATGGTGACCACAGTCTTTATTACATCACCAAGCAGGAAGATCTATACCAAACCTCGGAGTTCATCAAGTTCCTCATGCCACATATTGGACATTGGCTTGTGTTTGGCTGGCACCTCGTCGCAACACTCTTCTGTGTTATAGGGGTCACATTACTCTGGCCGATCCTATGGCTGGAAGAAAAGCGATATATTCCAGGTCTTTTTCTACGAGGGGGAAATCTGGCTTACAACATGGACAAGAAAATATCGGAGATCAAAGAGCAATGACGTCAGCTGTATTCTGCAAATCTCCCAATGGTGTTGTTAATGGCTACTTGATACTGCATGTGTGCGCAGAATTCGTATTGTCTCCTAAGAATTGTATTCATTATATCTGCAGAGCTTTGTTCTTTATTCAATAAACCCAAAGCCCAATTTCTGGCTTCATCGCTTCAATCATTCCACTACACATAGATTATTGCTGGGTCATTCCACACAAATCTCATTGCACACATTCAATGAGCCTTATTCTTCGGCTTGCGCTGCTTCTTCAGCTCCTGGCGGAAGGCGTTCTCCTGCTCGACGACCATTAATGGTAAACTGCGACCAATTCCAAAGAACACAAACAACGCCCACTTCCAACGGAATGGGTTGATCACCAGAACAAAGAGGTACCAGTAAATAAGTTCAGCGTAGGTGAAGAATTCGAACGCTCCGGTGGGCGCCAGACGCTTCATCAACCGTGTAAAATCGATCCAGGTCTTCATCCAAGCCTCAGTGGGACGGGTCAATGGGTCAGTCAGGAACATAAGCAAGAATCTGGTATAGATTCCGATATGCATGTTGCCAACCGTTCCAATAGCGTCGACGTAGGTGCTGTTGTTTGCGCAGATGTCTGGGTATTGAGGTGGGAAGACTTGGAGATACCAGCTGGGTGGGCCGTACGGCTCCTCGAAAACTTCCTCCGGCAAGAAATTTAATGAAGGTCGTTTGAATCCAGTCGCCATGACAATGAGGTCTCCCTCCACCAGGCGCTCCTTACCAGGGCCTCCCTTGGGCACACCCTTGGAGCGAAAGTTGAACGTCACGCCCTTCTCTTCCGCCGAGACAATATCACCTCGTAACCAGTGCGCCTTGCCTTCTCGAATCTGGTCGAACAGTTCCGAATTGGCCATGGGAGTCTGTGTGAAGATTCCCTTTTCGGTTGGCGCAATGTCTTGAAGGTCCCGATAGAAAAACTTGCGTAGCAGCCATTCAGGAATCCATGAGAGAGAAATCTCCTGGCCAAAGATGTTACAAGCCAGTAGAGATTGTACGAGCACGTTTCGAGGGATAATCCATTTGTCTGACCGAGACAAAACATCAATCTCAGCGGCACCGTTCTTGACTGCAAATTCCAGTGCCTCTATAGCGCTGGCGCCGCCTCCAACAATCAGCACCTTCTTTCCCTTGGCACTCTTGCCATCCAGATTCGAGGAATGGTAGATTTCTCCCTTGAACTTGTCTTGGTTGGGCAGTGAAGGCATCTTGGGGTCTCCACACACGCCCACTGTGGCCAAGATACCGTCGAAGACGCCATACTGAGCTTCATCATCGTTGATGACCCATTTTCCGTTCTTATTCTTTTTTACAGAAGTAACAGGCGTTTCAAAAGCGGTGCGTCTTTCAAGGTCGTAGTGTTTCCAGACTTTGATGATCTGTTCCTTGATCTGCTGCTGAGAGGGATATGCGGTGTCAAAGTGAACAGACGGGTGGAACCGGTACATGAGACTGTGGACCTGTAATGCAGAGGTTGAATTGACTCGCTGTGACTTGTTAGTTGCAGGTCTATTGCGCTGGACTGGGGGCTCTTACACTCCAGATGCCTCCGAGGCCTTGTTCCTTAGTTCGTGATTCAAACAATTGCACATCAAATCCATGGCCCACACAGTGTGAAGCAGAAGACACTCCAGTCAATCCAGCCCCAATGACTGCAACCCTCTTCCGAGGGATGTTGGTGTTTTGAGCGGTTGGAGGCGGGGGCACGGGAGAAAAGATATAGATCAGGATATTCTGCAGAGCCATGTAGAGCCAAGTGAAGGTCTCTACGAATGGATGCCGAATCAGCGCAGGGATAAACGACTCATTGCTAGAGGTCGTCATATTTGAAGTTGAGGAGGGGAAGAGAGAGTGCAGAGAGGATATTTATGTGATGTGGGCTTTCATGTGAAGGAATGACATCATGTCGGGAGATTCCAAGAATTCCATACTTCGAGACTCCGGGCGTTTTTAGTCTATCCACACGCTTCTGGCACTCTCATTTGCTTCTTTCAACGGCCGAATCCACCGAGATATTCCTCGGGATGCCGTCATAAGAGTCAGTTTGTAGGAGACGACGAACCAGGCATTTCAAGCTATGAAGGAGACCTTGAGTGAGCAACATGGCTACACTGGGTGACTTTCACATGCTAAGTTATCGGGTCCCAAAAAGGTACATGTCAGCTTGAGTGGTACTGATGCCCACTAGCGACAGAGAGCGGTATTCTCTCACTATTATGTGGACAAAGGGACATCTTGTCCTCTATATATAGATCCAATATGCGGAATCCGAACCTGCAATTGACCAGGAGCAGGAAATAGTACCCTGAATCCGAACAGCCCTATACATACCTCCAGCTCAAGAACGGGGCCAAACATCAATTCAATCACTCAATGGCAGTGAGAAGGTGACTGAACAGCAGCTTCGACCATCTCAGGGCTGCATAGAATCCCGGGCGGTCAACCCCGTTCTGCCGCAACAATGCCATGTCTTGCCAGTTGAACTCTTTCCTGGTCCACATCCTCATAGACGCCATGATCTGTCATTCTTGAATTTTTTTCGACTGCTGTGAACCAAACAGCTTTCAGGCTCCGACGCATTCCTCAAGATGGGTCCAACCCCCGTTCTTGACCAATTCCTTGGCAGCCTTGGGGAGTTGGTCCAGAATCGCGATGGTGCCAAGGTGCAGGACTTCCTTCAAATTGAGCCACCACTGTCGGAAATTTACGTGCGCATGATCGAGGAATTACGAAGCAACTTTACTCCAGGCCCTCAATCAGATGCCGAACTTCTTCGACGATGTGAACGCCTTGTACCGCGAACCAAGGGTAGCTCGTGGACCGCTTTTCCCACATTTCTCAAGCTTTACCTGACCTTTTTGCGCGATGTGAAGACGGAAAATTTGCTGGAGACATACAACTTGTTGAAAGCGTTGCTCAAGTACGTTCTCCCCGATACAAGACCAGCGCACGCAGTAATACTCCCCCCACGGCAATGAGTCGGAAGACTAATTTTTTTCTTTACGCCTTTAGCCAATGTGTGCTTGCCCTTGGAGATAGTCAGATGGGCGTTGTTGTTCTTCCTACTGTTCTATATCTATCGAAAGTCCTGGCGAAATTAGCAATGGGTCTCGACCGTCGGCCGGACTTGATCGCGCACATCCTACGCATGGAAGGACAATCAGACCAAGATGACTCCATCGAGAAAGTTACTTTGGTGGAGAAATCAGCCAACGTCGTGCGCGAAGCCTTCATCAAGTGCCTTACTGACCGTACCGGCACCCCTGGCCCGCATGGTAAGCCAGAAGGCAAACGGATCGGAATCTATCTCATGGCCAATTTGTGCTTGAAACTCCTCTTCCAGGTATTTAGTACCCTGGGTTCTTTTCACCTAAACTTTTTTTTGACAAAGATCAGTGCGGCAAGCTTCGAAACGCCGAGCAGATGTTCGCGAGTATCACCGCCCAATCACCGCCCTTGGCCTACTTTCCTGCATCGCAGCGTGTTACCTATCTATACTACCTCGGTCGCTATCTATTCGCCAATAACCTCTTTTTCCCGGCCCAGACAGCCCTGCAGGCTGCTTATGATCAATGCCACCGCCAGGCTACAAGCCAACGACACCTCATCCTTACCTATCTCATACCATGCAACATCATACTCGGCCGATTCCCATCCAGGACTCTTTTACAACGACCGGAGGCACAAGGTCTTTCAGACCGATTTGGACCTCTATGTCGATTGATTACCCGAGGAGATTATCTTGCCTTCCGGCAGCACTTATCTCTCAGCTCACCAGCCGCTGAATGGTTCGCCCGCAAAGGAATTTTGCTGACCCTCCGCAATCGATGCGAGATTCTTGTATGGCGCTCTTTTGCGCGCAAGGTTTTCATCAACGGAGGCTTCCATGGAGATCCGCAGGCGCAGGCGCAACGCGGACCTCCCCCGTACCTCTACCTCAATAAAGCTGTTGCAGCAACGCGATGGCTTCAATCGCAACATGGAATCCCCGCGAATGGCTCGACTGGTGCCACAACCCTCAACAAATATGGTTCACAGGTCATTGTTGAACCCATGGACTCCGAGTACGCCGGCCTGTCAGAGGAGGATGGGACTACTGGTCCCCAAGATAATGAAATTCTGGCGGAATATGGCGACTACATTGCTCCAAATGGGTTCTACAACGAGGAAGGCCACTGGCAGCCTAGTGAAAGCGGCCAATTGGTGGATGGTGAGCCATATGATGATTACGCCGACTGCGATATTTACCCATACTCCAACGACCCTCAAGACAGCAAACATTCACATATGCCGTCTCCTCTGATGCGAGAAATTGAGTCGATATTTGCATCTCTTCTGACACAAGGTCTGATGCGTGGATACCTCACTCACCGCAACCCTCGATTCGCTATCCCGGGTGCCAGAATCCGAGGCGCTTTACCAACAGGCTTCCCAAATGTCTGGCAGACCATCTTCACACATGAGAGTGAAGACTCTAGCGTTCCTGGCTGGGTTCAGCCTCCGGCGATAGGGCTCAACACGCTTAGGACAAACGGTACAGCTGGAGGAGCTACAGGAGCTGGGGCGGGGGGAGGTGGCCGCGTGGTTAATCTTTCAGGAGCCCGCCCAGTGGGAGTTCAATAATGACTTTATGATACCAGCATTAGTTTAAGCGAGTCCAATTAATTGTTGCATGTATTTTCTGTCTCTTTACCCTGTTTGGTCTGTAAAAAGCCCTAACTGGATGTGTTTCTTATCGATAACGACTTTGCGGGGAATTCAATCGAGCTGCCTGATTTCTCCAACTTCCACTCCGACTCCAACTCCCTTGCATCGTACATCCAACATCGGATGTTGCATTGCCTTGCTCATGGATCATTCTGAAGCTGTCAAGCAGATATCTGCACGAGTGGCTGACTTTTACCGCCGCCAAAAACCCTTTCGCATTTACCATGGCGCAACCAATAGCACGCGGCCCTCCAACCACTCCGCATCCAACACGGTCAGCACTGCTGATCTCACCCATGTTTTGCAGATTGATACAGACAGCTGTACGGCGCTAGTCGAGCCCAATGTCCCAATGGACGCATTTGTGAAAGCGACCCGGACTATGGGCCTGGTCCCTCTCGTCGTTATGGAGTTTCCGGGTATCACGGTTGGGGGCGGATTCTCTGGAACCTCGGGTGAGAGTAGCTCATTTCGAGAGGGATTTTTTGATCATACGGTCAATTGGATTGAAATGGTTCTTGCCGATGGTCAAGTGGTGAAGGCCTACAATGACCGCGTCGAGGTGAGGGAGGATGTCCAGGATAAACGATCGGACTTGTTCTGGGGCACTGCATCTTCCTTTGGTACCCTTGGAGTGGTCACCTTGTTGGAAGTTCGACTCAAAAAGGCCGAACCCTTGGTTGAGTTGAAGTACTATGTCAGTTCAAATATGAAAGATGCGTTGCGCGACTTTCAAGAAGCTCGGGCTGATCCGGAGATCGAATATCTCGACGGCATTGTTTACTCAAAGAACAAGATTGTTGTTTGTGCTGGGCGGCAAGTGAGCGACAGTCCCGTTTCAAGAGTTCATCAATTCACTCGTCGACAAGATGATTGGTTTTATTTGCACGTCGAACAAATCACCAAGTCTCTCTCCAAAAAAGCTGGGTCTCACGCCCCAGATGCCGTGGAATACATTCCTCTGACAGACTATCTCTTCCGATATGACCGGGGCGGCTTCTGGGTTGCTCGTTACGCCTTCCGTTACTTCTGTGTGCCATTTGTCTCACTTACGCGCTGGATCCTAAACAGGTTCATGTACACTCGGGTGATGTACCACGCTCTACATGTTAGTGGCCTCGCTCGCCAATATGTCATCCAAGATGTCGGTGTGCCAGTTTCCACCGCCTCTGAGTTCCTTGATTGGCTGGACCACCCCGAGAACTTCGGGCAATATCCTCTTTGGCTCTGCCCGCTACCCCCTGGAAGCGCCGGTGGATTGGAGGGACAGACAATGAGTGACCGCAAAGGAGATATCTCAGACCCAGAGAGCGGAACTTTGATGAATTTTGGAATCTGGGGACCATCAACCGCCACTGGACAAGCTGGATTTGTGGCTCAAAACCGGCAGCTTGAACACAAGGTCCATAGCCTTGGGGGAAAGAAATGGCTCTATGCACACACTTACTATACAGAGACAGAGTTCTGGCAAATTTACAACAGGAAAGACTACGACGTTTTGCGTGAGAAGTACCATGCACATCATCTTCCCACTCTGTATGACAAGGTACGTGTGCGCGAATCGGATCTTCCGGGTGCGCATCGCGGGGAGTTTGAAGGTGGATGGAAGGGAATGGTCAAAAGAGCTTTGTGGGATGTATGGCCATTCAGTGGATTGTATGGAGTCTACAAAGCCTGGAGAGGAGGGGACTATCTATTGCAGAAGGAGAAATCCAAGAAGAAGGCCGACTAAACCATAGCCTGTTCAAACCGCATATATCAAAACAAAGGTATTCATGCATTTCATCTCGCCAATCGCTATAGAATAAAAGAAGAGAGAAAAACGCCACAAGACCCGATCCAGTACTTATGCAAGATGCAAAGCATGCAGTAAAAAAGTAAACATAAAAAGCGCAACCGAAACTGATATGCCCGAAAGGATGACCGAGGGTGTCTCTATTCCTCCACAATTCGTCCCTCCAGCCGAGGAGAGATCCCCGACGTCCAGGCTGGGGTGAATTCGCCTTCACCGTCCATGGCATTCAGAGTTGTAGGTTGTAGTCCCGCATGCCGCATCCATTTCCGAACAACGCGTCGCGCAATTTGCAAGCGATGCTCTTCTTCAGCAGAGGACTGCGCGGGAAAAGTCACGTAGTTGGTGAATGGTTGCGATGAGGTCAGGATATCTGGATCCTCGTCGGAATCAGAGTCCATGGCATCGCCATTGGTCTCATTTCCAGTGAGACCCTTGTTATCCTGTCCAAGCTCTTCAGGGAACCGACCGTAATAGTATGCTGTGTGGTTTGTCCGCTTAAGAGCAGGCCGTGACCCTAATTTTTTGACTGGGGGTTTCTCGGCCTTGGGAGATGTCGCGGCAGATGGCGGTTTCAGCCACCCTTCACCATGTAGGTTACGATGGACAGTACCCCAGTGTCGACGGAGACTGGCACTCCAGCGATTCCATTTACCAAGTACCTTCAGACTCAGGAAGTATTGGCGTAGAATAGTGCTAATAAGAACACCGTTCTCTTCATCAACAAGTTCCTCCACCTCCCCTCCTTCGGACTGGACAAGTAAAGAAGAAAATCCGTCTTTACCTCGCGCCATGTATCCACGAGTCGCGAGAACATAATTACGTTGTAAATCAATAGGCTCACCACCGATACGCACGAATGTGATGCGCGAACCCGAAGGCGCTGCGAGTTTAAACCCATAGCTGATGTTTGACACTTGCGAAAATCGACCCTCGAGTGCAGGGAGCTGGCTAACCCCATTCTCAAGTGCATTTAGCAATGCCTGGCCACTAAGGCTCAGCAGCACAACCGGGTCTTCAAAAGGAAAGCAGTTCAACAAATCTTTCAGTTTCAAAATCCCAGGTGGATAGATTTGATCCCCGCGAATGGTGCCACCCGCCATCATGGCACAGTCAGCAGCGTAGTAGAAGCGCATAAGGTCGCAAACAAAATTTCCCAGATTGGATTCACGCTGGCGCACAGTAGAGAAACGGCCATCGAGGGCACTGACAGTGAACCCAATCGGCTTGTCCAATTTAGCCTTGAGGCTGGATGTAAGCCGAGCCACCAATGCCACCGTATCCGGGTCCTCCGGAATTGAGCGAACTACATCTCGCCGCGCAATGTTGAAGTCCCACCCTGTTCCACCAGGTTTGCGAAAGGCCTCAATATAGCTTAACTGTTTGAAGTCAGTCCCTGATCGTAAAACATGAATTCCATTGACGACGGAATGCGCATAAAAGTGATCGTGTCCCCCGAGAATGATATCAACCAGGTCGGGCGATAAATTGCTAGCTAATTTATGGTCGTTTGGTTCGCGTTGATGGGTGACAGCGACGACGAGGTCGGCTCCTTGTTCTCGAAGCTGCTTAGCTAGTACTCGAGCCGTTTCAGATGCAGATTTGTAAATCAGATCAGGCGGAAGTACGTTGATTGTGCCGAGCCTCAGAGTTATGTTAGCGGAGTATGCCGAGAATGTATCGCCCGAACCACATACCATTCTCTCTCTCCTAGACCCAACACGCCAACCTTGATCCCGTTCGATGATGTCAATAAGCGGGTCTTACCGCAGTCGGCGATTGGCACATCGTCTCCCAGTGCTGGGTCAAGAACATTGGCCAAGAGCCACGGGAAATGACATTGACTCGCAAGATGCCGAAACTGTGCGACTCCAAAATCAAGGTCATGATTCTGGAGGAATTAGCGGTGTACATATCAGGTTGGTTGTTGCTTGTCATGCTCACTCCCACACATGCCACATCGGTGCCAACTGTGTTGAGAAATGGTACCATATGTCTGCCTTTTGTGATTGTACTCTCGATACTCGGATTGAAAGCATCACCGGAAAAGAAGGTCAGGATGTCGGGTTGCCCGGCAAATTGCGGGTGAGATCGGTAATAGTTCACGAGGGATTGAAATCGAGATATCCCGCCAATGGGTTCTGCAGAGCCGGCTCTAAGTATACAGAGTTAGCACAGTTCCAATCCACACAGTGTGGCGAGCTGGGCAAGACAGGCGCATACTCGACGTGATAAACATCATTGTAGTGGATCAGCCGTAGATCCGGGGATCCAGTTCGATCTGAGGAGTGAGTGACGGAGTGGCCGTCTGTATCGAGATTTGCCATATGAACGCAAGAATTACAAGAGGTCCAGAAAGTTACAGAGAATGAATACAGAGGAGGGGCAGAAGGAAGGAGGGACAAACAATGAGGGGATCCGCCACCGAAGTGCCTGGATGCCGATGCCTGAGTGCCTGAGTGCCTTGATGCCTGGATATGATGCCTGAAAAGTAGGGTGTCAATAGGAAAAGCTATCATGAAACCAAAAATAAAACCCTAAAGAAAAAACGCCAACCATGCATAAAGGTATCCTGGAATTTGCACATAATTTCATAACTTCTGCTCCGTCACTGTCCATCGTCGTTTTGATCCACCGTCACGATCCTCCAATGATGGCGCACTGCCCCATAAACCACGTTGTGATATCGTCCGTTGTGGTAGCTGTCTTGTCCATCGATCCACGGGCTTCTCAGCAAGCGCTGAATCCTGGCTAGCTGGGCGATCACCGAAGTTTGGCACAAAATGTTCGTCTATGTCGTTGGCCTTATCGGCCTTGTCGGCCTGGTCGGCCTTGTCGACCTTCTCAGTCTTCTCAGTCTTCTCAGTCTTGTCAGGAGACATCGAACCCCAGAGGCCAGAAGCACTGCGAGAATTAGTGGACGAGCGCAAGGCCAGCGTCCAGCCACGAGGACTCGTCATGGAGTTTGATGGTAGCCCACTTGCCAACGGGCCTGGGAGGTGCGACGGGCGAGAAGTCAGTCGATTCCGATAGGACGAGGCCGGAGCTGGTGAAACAGGCTGTGGCACGGAGGGTGATGCCAGTGAGGTGAGCTGTGAGGGGTTGATTCCTGGTCGCAGATGATCAGTGGACGCCACAAGCTGCAGGGAGTATTCCCGCGACACCGATTGGCTCCCCTGATGCTTCGGAGAATTACGCGCATCCTCCGGGGCGGGGTTCTTGATGCGGTTGCGTCGTACAGCCATCGTGAGTGAGGCCGTGTTGATATCTAGAAGGACTGAGTGGCCAGTCAATGCGCTGATCAACGCATTGCAGTCTGCGCCATGTGTGATTATAACGAGGACTGTTTGCGTATCACGAAAAGCGCTGGCTCCATTCGAGGTGGTCGCAGCCTTTTGGTCAGATGATCCCTGCGCTCGGTACCAGTTCACCATGTGCTGGAAGCCATCATGCACACGTTCATGCATAGTACTCCACTCTTCGCCATATTCACCCCCAGTCCCCCAGTAAGGTGTGCGCAAGCTATCCCATTGGTAATCAATTTTGGTGCAAGCATTCCTCGCATGGGCAACGTATCCAGTAGGTATGGGATCAGAAGAAGAGACCGCGTAGCTGGGTGTAGGAGGTACATATGACGCATCGAGAATCGGCGGTAGATCCGTGTTTAGACGGCCCAGTGACTTTTTTGCATTCTTGGCACGAACTGGATTTTGTTGGGTATCATAGGTACTAGCACGTTGTCGCGGACCGGGTTGGGTAGTTTTAGAATGTAGTCCTTCCTCCTCCTCGGTTGTTGGTGAACTAGGGTGGGATTGACTGCCCCAGCCACCGGGAAAATGACCTGACAGAGCCCTCGCCGACCCGTCCGTAGCAGGGATGACCTCGGCACGACGCAGCAATTCCGCTTTGGCAGACGCCACCATTCTGTCGGAGCTAGGAGGTGGGGTAATTTGGTCAAAGTAGTCTGGTGACAGCCATTCTCCCAAAAATGCATCCACCCGAAGCAGACATCTTGGATCAGGGTTTGACCCGGCTGCAACTGGGGAAGGACTTGGCTCGGTTGTCTCGGTTGGATGTGAACCGATGCCTGCACTGACACCAATGGCCGTTTGAAGACATCGCAGGTAGGGAGAGGTATGGACAATGACGTTGTATCGGTCGTAGATATCCGATGTGGGGGCAGGGTTTAGGCTGGCCTGATCATCCGAGGTCGGAGGATTCTGGTCCTTCGGATCTTCTCCGGTGAATTGCCGGGCTCTCAGTAGACTCCCGATCCGTACACCAAGGGCGCGAGCTTGCATCCACCCACCGTAGGAGAGAGGGGGGTCGTAAGGCGTAGGGGAGGTAAGGTGCCAATCTTTGTCTGCAGCATCCAGGCGGGCGCCATGTCTTCAGTTCAGTTAGCAGCGGAAGTATAATCCATGAAGGGGAAAATTGAAAATTACCTGGCTATGAACACAATTGGAGGTGATTTTGTCATCGAGTCAAAATGTCGATTTGGAACCCGCTGCAACTTGTTTCCCCCGGAATGTTGGGGTTTCAGCAAACGAAGTGAGAATAGAAATCAAAAAATGTACGCCATGACCAGCCAAGGCATGATGGCGATCACAACAATGAAAACTGGAAAGTGAAGGAGATAAAGACGGAGAAATTCATGCGAATGTCCGGACATGTGATTGGCTTATGTAACCACCTCGATCTGCCCACCTGCAGCTTGGACAAGGTTAGATGACTTGAATCAGTTGATACTCACATCTGGCATGATCAGATAGTTTTGAGTAGTGCTTGTTTTATGGAAGTTCACTATTATTTGGCTTTGCTCGGCTTTTGAGCCAACACTGTCTTCCGCCCTGTGCAGTTGCGGAGACACATGTGGGAAATCCGCCTGCGATTTTATGGATTCGCCTGGCAACAGCTGTGAGTCACTCTAACAAGCTTCTGATCGGCTATCCAGCGAACACTTTGTGCTTAGTTCGCCGTCCTTGACTGCCGATTTAAGCTTATGTCAAACTTCGGATGCGGACCCGATGGCGATTAAGCTCGGGATCCACTCTGGATCTGATAAAACTGAGCTTCCTGTCATGTCGGTGTAGTTGCTTGTTCCGTCTCGTCTTTCTTTTTCAAAATGACCTACACTGAATAATAGTATCTTATGACCGGCTCAGCTATAGACAAGGCACATAGCCATGGAAGCGATGAGACGAACTCGATTTGAACCTTCGCTGTCACAACACCACCGGACTCGTTCATATCAATGATCATATCTTTGGTGCCAACCTCAAAGTTCTGAGTTGACCTTCAATTGCCTAGAGCGTGAGCGTTAGCGTTAGTATTTTCATTATGGTTGCAGGGTGTCTTAGAGATGCGTTTGGCCTTGGTTGCATGTTTGTGATTGGCTCCTGTTGGTTTAGTTCGAGGTCCTTGTTGGCTGTGTTCAGAGTTGGGTCAACCCAAATCGTTTTTTAGACCGACTATATTATTTCCTAATGCCAATGAAATTATAGGACGTACACATCTCTCGAGTCCGCGGAAAAGAATGATATTCCTGTAGGTATTTCCGGCTTGGTGATGACCAACCTTTGACAGAGCCCCGAAGACTAGGCCACCCTTGTCGATTGAAAGCGCCTTACTCCTGGATGTTTCTTGTTGTTAGATTTTTGTGTTGTGGTATCTTCACATTGATTGAATGCGAAGCACCATTTTCCTTTACTATCACCTTTTGATTTTTCGGGGGATCTAGCCCGGCTCCTAGGCCTATCGAAGATGATTGGCCATGCATCACCAATAGGTTATCAGCCCAAATTGTAGAACTATAACTGTGAAAGCTCCCTGGGAAATGGTTAATTGACGCAACCGAAAAGTCATATTGGGCCCCGGAATGTGAAGAGAAAGGAATGCGCGTCACCGGACATAGATACCAAATATTGCTCGCATTCCATTGACATCAGCGCTGACACTGCACCCGGCAAAGTCTTTCATGCAATAAAGTAGACTTTTCCCCTGGATTGTGGTGGTAAGGCAAGCTTGGGATTGGCAACTTCTCACCACGACCGGCAAATTCTGGGACACGTCCCATCTAAATTCCAAGAACAATTATTGTGACTTTAAATTTGGAAAGCCATTACAACGATTAACCAGACCAACAAGTGTCTCGTCCATATGAATCTCACCCTCATTCAGTCCGAACCAGAACAATTTTGTCAAACATTCGACATCCAACTCAAGTGCAACTAGGCTGACATCAACCTTTTATCTCAACCACTTCTCATGCAACTCGCCACCATGCGTTTTGTATTGACTTTTGCCCTTTTTACGGCAGTCACTATGGCTATGCCCCATGGTAGTGCCCAGGAAGTACGTCTCATCTGTCCTGGCTAGTTCCGCTCGGCTTACTGACCCATACTCTTGCAGTACCAACAGGTATGCATATTGATTTAATGTTGGATCTATCTCTTACATCCAACAGCCCGCAATTTCATCCGCATCCGTATCCATGTCCATGCCAACGAAAAAGACGACTTATACCGCCCAAACCCTTCCTTCAGCTTCAATGGAAGCCCAGAAACGAATGCTTCCGTATGAATACGAACTCCTTTGAAATGGATTTCAAGGGAGGCCACAAGCTCATAGAATTTACAACAGGTTTTGATGACACACATAATGTATGCCGGGGGAAGCTGAAGGCTCGATAAATCTCCAAGCTGCTCACTGTCACTTCCATGATTATGGGAGATATGCGGATATGGCTATGTAGTTACTTGAGGCCAGAGACCTTTCATTGGGGCACATTCATTCGTTTTCTACTATTGTCTGTCAGAAGACAGGCTCCACTGAACTCAAACAAGGCGCTGCCTACCACGCATTCCTGGGGCCTGTAAAGATTCACCACTAGTGGTTCACGATATAATTATACGACTCAACTGGCTTGTTCGGTTCACAAAGAAATTCCCGTGTACCAGTCATGTCTACATATGCAGTATCTGTCTTTCTATCGGCCGAAATATTTATTTGCTTCGTTGATCATCGAAAGTTCGGAATTTCACTTCCGCAACTGATAGAAACAAAGTAGGGCTAGGATCAGCAAGTCAGACCATACGGAAGCTCGGGATACATGCACAAGAATCCATCAAATTCGGACGAGAGACAAACCCGGGGTAGACAAACTCCCCAGATTTCCAGCAAATCAGGGCTCTCTGCTATGTGAAAATACGCGAAGCTGTGGCGGCGATCGCTTTTGCCTAATTGGGATTGTGCCGACGGAGCTCAACAGCCGGCGCCGGAGTCGGCCCCGGACGGGAGCCGGAGCTATCAGATCCATCTAGATCTATAACTGAAGGGTTTTTCTTCTACTTGGTCTTTATTTTTCACTTGCACTTGTCATTAGCTCGGGCACCAACTAGAAATATGGCAGCTAAAACACTACCTGACCCTTCGCTGTGTGTCACTGCAACGGACTTTGAGAATGTCGCCAAGGATGTTCTCTCAGAGAAATCATTGGTGTATGTATCCAGTTCGGCCGCATCAGGATTGTCAATGAAGACCAATCTTGACGACTGGTCTCTGATCAACTTCCGGCCTCGTATCCTGAGAAGTGTGGATAAGATGGACACCAGGAAGTCCATTCTGGGTTCGACCTCGCAATTCCCGTTCTTTGTCTCGGCCATGGGAACTCTTGGCAGTGCTCACCCAGGTGCTGAGCCTTTGCTCGTCCGGGGAGCTACTCGCAAAGGCCTGCACACAATGATTAGCACTGCTTCGACAAAGACACTGGAAGAAATCATGGATGCACACCTCGATGAACAACGGTTTCTTAACAACCAAAGTCCCTCCAAGCTTTCTTTCCAACTTTATGTTCCTGTCGATAGGACAAAAGCCAAGTCTCTTATTCAGAGAGTCAAGAAGGCTGGGTTCCAGAGCCTCTGGGTTACGGTGGACACTTCAACGCTGGGAAAGCGAACAGCGGACCGTTATCTTCAGGCACGAGAGAATCTTGCTGCCCCCAAAGAGAATATTGTGAGAGCCGGCACTGGGGAGACCAATAGTGAAAACAGCTATGCCCCGGCATTTGGCGGGCGACAGGTTCCCGGTTCAGTGGATGCTGGTCTCACTTGGGAGGACTTGGAATGGATCTCAAAGGAGTGGAATGGACCACTTGTTCTCAAGGGAATCCAGAGCGTCGAAGATGTCAAAATGGCCGTTGAACATGGTGTGCAGGGTATCTTGTTAAGCAACCATGGCGGTAGACAAATTCATTCCGCCCCGAGTTCGTTGATGACACTCTTGGAGATTCGATCATACTATCCGGAAGCATTTGACAAGCTCGAGGTGTTTGTCGATGGTGGACTCCGTGATGGCTCCGATGTCCTCAAGGCTTTATGTCTTGGAGCAACTGCGGTAGGAGTTGGTCGACCGTATTACTACGCCCTCGCGGCATACGGTGCTGAAGGAGTAGAGCGATGCACAGATAGTAAGTTCTTTCTGGATCCAAAAAATTTGCTCAGAAGCTAACAGCGTTAAAGTCCTGGCCGAGGAAGTTGAAATCACAATGAAGATGTTGGGAGTTTCCTCTCTCGACCAACTTCAGCCTGATATGATCAACACAAGCCGACTGCAGAATGAGATGTGGCGGCCAGCATTTGGAAGATCGAAGCTGTGAAACAAATTGAATGATTCATAAGACATTATAGACCTATTTACATCGAACTATGTATTCTAGATAACTTATACACAATGGTAATGCCATCGAGCAAGTGAATCATAAAGATTTCACTGAAGAGAACCCCAACCACCACCACCGGCAGTCTTGATGACAATTCGGTCGTGGGTCTTCATAGAGACAGTATTTTTGCCTCCAATGTTGATGCGACGCTCTCCACCGGTTTCTTCGTCGCGGGTGATCCACAGGTTCAAACCCGGCTGCGCATCCTGACCACCTTCCAAACCGTATGGACGATGCACGCGTCGCTCTGACAGGATAGAGCACTTCATTGGCGACAGAAATTCAATCTCCCGGATCACTCCCTCGCCACCAGGGTTCTTGCCTTGTCCACCAGATCCATCGCGAAGGGTGAATTGGCGGAGCATGGTCGGGTAACGCTTCTCCAAGATTTCGGGATCGGTAATCCTTGTATTGGTCATATGCACCTGCACACCAGACTCGCCCTTCCAGGTTGGACCTGCACCACTTCCACCAGCGATTGTCTCGTAGTATCCAAATCCAGGAGTAATCACGGCACCAGTAGATGAATCAACCTTGGGATCGGTACCAAAAGTGAGGTTATTGCAACAGCCTTGGGAGGCAGCACATGCCTGGAAGGCCTTGAAAACAACGTCAGTAATGCGCTGTGAAGTAACGACATTACCGCCCACCACGGCAGCAGTCTTGGTTGGCGACAGGATGCTCGGCGACGGAACACGGATGTCAATTGGAGCAAGACATCCTTGGTTCAGCGGAACATCTGCATTGATCATGCAGCGTAGGCAGTAGATAATAGCCGAGTGGGTGATGGCAATGGGCGCATTCCAGCTGCCGTATACCTCGGAGCCAGTGCCTTCGAAATCAAAGACAGCAGATCCATCGGTGCCGTCGATGGTAATCTTCAAGCAGATAGGAGTACCGTCGTCCATGTAGTCGACCGATACCAAAGGCTGGCCTCCGAACTTATGATACAGCTCTTTAAGAAGGTTGCGGACAGCAGTCTCGGCTGTGGCTTGAATGGCATACATGTACTTTTGCACCGTCTGGGTTCCATATTCGTTGAAGAGAGTCTGGATCAAGCTGATTCCACGAGTGTTGGCAGCAATCTGAGCCTTAAGATCAGACATGTTATCGCTGATGCACCGTGCTCCAGAGCAGCCAGGGTATTGGGAAGGCTTTGTGACCAGAAGTTCCACCAAACGCGCCTCGTCCAGAACTCCGTCACTGACAATCTTATCTCCTTCGATTGCAGCGCCTTCTTGCCAAAGCTCTGTGGATTTAGGAGGCATAGAACCAGGTAAGATACCACCAATATCAGCATGGTGACCACGAGACGCCACGTAGAACATAATCTCGCTGCCTCCAGGCCGATCAAAGACAGGCGTAATAACCTAATATATGGTCAGTCTCAATTGAACTTATTAATGGTCCGATAGTGACTTACTGTGATATCCGGGAGGTGGGTTCCTCCACAGCTAGGGTGGTTGGCCACCAACACATCACCATCCTTCAAATTACCCAGCCACTTCTGGTGCTGATATCGCACGGCAAATTGCATAGATCCCAGATGAACCGGAACATGTGGCGCATTGGCAACCAATCCTCCATCAGGTGAGAACAGAGCGCAAGAGAAATCCAACCGTTCCTTGATATTGGTTGAAACAGAGGTCTTCTGCAAAGTCCGACCCATCTGCTCGGCAATAGACATGAATCGATGACCAAAAATACTAAGTCTGATAGGGTCAATTTCTGCCGAAAGTGATTTTCCAGCGGTAGAGGCAGTTGGCTTGTCCTTGAGATCAATAACGATACAGGTATCGAGCAAATTTGCCACTGCGTTAGGAGCGACGACAATTGTCTGAGTCTGGTCAATGATTACCGCTGGGCCTGAGATACGAGAATTCTTCTCAAGCTCGCCCAACAGATACACCGGTGTATTAATGCGACTTGAATTGCCATCGAAATAAGCTGAGCTGGTGTTTGCCGGGGCCGTGATGATGTCTCGCATGTCTGCATTCTTCAATTGAACCAAAGGACTTTGCTCCGATCTTACCTTGGAAGAAGCAATGCTGCGCACGCGAATGTCATCGACGAGGACTGGTCGCTCGGAGTTGAAATTAAATTCACGACGGTGGCGCACACGGAATTCTTCCAAGAAGTTTGATGAATTATCCGGTTTCAGGATCATGAGACTCGTGTCAGAGCCTTCGTATCGCATGTTGAGATACTTCTCGTGGCGCACTTGAGCGGCCGTAAAGCCTTGACTCTCCATCTCTTTCGTTCCTGCTGTTGCCATCTCATCAAAGCGCTGAAGTAAGGCTGAATGGGAGGATGCATACGTGGATGATACTGGTTCCTGCGCCTCCTTGACAACCTCTGCTAACGCGAGACCGTATGCCGACAATACTGAGGAATATTTGTGAATAATGATCCGTGATATGCCGAGCGAGTCAGCCACCGAGCATGCGTGCTGACCTCCAGCACCTCCAAAGCATGCCAAATGGTGAGATGCAGTCTCGAAGCCTCGCGCCTCTGTGAGATTGCGGATCGGCCGGGCCATGGACTCATCCGCAACCTTCAAGAAACCAAGAGCGACGTCCTCGGGGGTATATTCTTGTTGACCCTGTTCTCGGCGCTCGACATTGATCTTTTGTGTCAAATCATTGAAAAGTTGGGCCGTAGTCTCCGTGTCCAGAGGCTGATCCTCGTCGGGACCAAAGATGTGTGGGAAATACTCGGGCAGTAAACGCCCTAAGAACAAGTTGGCATCGGTAACGGTCAAGGGTCCTCCTTTGCGGTAGCAAGCTGGGCCAGGGTGAGCACTGGCAGATTCAGGTCCGACATAGAATAAACCGTTGCGCCAGTTGAGAATAGATCCACCGCCTGCAGCGACAGTGTTGATATCAAGCTGAGGTGACTGAATCAAAACACCTGCGACTTTGGAGCCGAAAACATGCTCCAAGTGGCCATCAAAGCGAGATACATCAGTCGATGTACCTCCCATATCAAAGCCAATAACTGGAGTCTGTTCAATAGGATCCCAGCTGGTGGCTGCAAAGCCAACGACTCCAGCTGCAGGTCCAGAAAGAATTGCTTTCAGTCCGCTGAATTTGCGGAAATCGACCAGTCCGCCGTCCGATTGCATAAACTCAAATCGGCAGTCGTTCTGACTCTCCAAACCACCTTCAAAGCTAGCAGAGATGGAGTCGATGTAGGTCTTGATAACAGGGGTGAGGTAGGCATCGGCCGCGGCTGACATACCGCGAGGCACAATCTTGATCATAGGTTGAAGTTTTGAAGACAGCGTAACGGAGAATCCCATCTGCTGAGCCATATCGCCGATTTGACGCTCATGTTCGGGATACGCGAAAGAATGTAATAATGCCACAGAGAGTGACTGGTAGCCTTGCTCCTTTAATCGCTGAAGCTCGATCTTAACTTGAACGAGGTCCAGCTCTTGCACAACCCGGAATTTCTCGCCAGTGATGCCCTCGACAACGCGACAATTGGAGAAACATTCATCATCGGCAGACGGATGACAAGGGAGTACACGTTCGTTGACTTCGACCACGCTCTCTGGCAACACCCCTGGACGAGCCATCGACAGATCAAAAATGGCTGGTCGAGATTGATCGCCGATCTTTAGCAGATCTCGGAAGCCTTTCGTCGTGAAAAGTACCGAGCGAGCGCCTTTGCGCTCGAGTAAGGCGTTGGTTGCAACTGTTGTGCCCATTCGTAGACACTCGATGCGATCAAGCTTTAATGGCTGGCCTCGAGGGAATGATTCTCCAGTGGCAAGTTCAAGGACTTGACGGATACCTTCGGTTGGTGCATCCTGATAGTGGGAAGGGTCGACAGAAAGAAGCTTCAAGATTATGTCTGGGCGACTGGGAGCTTCCGTGGAATCACCTATTGCTTCTTAGCTTGCATCCAAATGGTTCCTCTGCTCCTAATGTACTTACTTTGACCCTCTGGTCGCCCTATGCTAGCCCAGATATCAGTGAAAGTACCACCGCGGTCAATAGCGATAGTAATCTTCTCCGAGTCAAACATTGGGCCAAGCATGATTGTGATGTGTCAGAGAGAAAATATGGAAACACGAGAATATAGACAAGCGAATCCCTTCATTTATGACAAAAAGAGCGTTCCGATGTTCCACGCTTCATCGCCATCGATCGTCGTTGCCATTGTCCTGACGGTCACGTGTCGGGCCGATGACGGCGCGTCGGGATGATCGGGCCGATGATAAGCCGCGGGGTAGACGGAGAGCGAGAGAGTTATATAGTCAGATATAGTTAGAGTGAGATAGCAAACGAACGAATCAAGTTGTGCAAAGGGGAGAAAGGGGCAATTTGGTATTGGCGGTCAAAACTGGATCGATGTTCCTCCCAGACTTCTATGCACTCTATCAACCTGCACAGTTGGTTTCTTATAGATCAGGCGACTGTATAGATCAAAAGTATATTATAATATAAGTATGATCCTATCGCTTTAAGGTATTTTCAATCCAGTCCGTATCCATATCAATATCAATCTGGTCCAATGCCCCTTCCCAGAGTGCGGGATCATCGTTGAGATCGAATTGAAACGCAATATCTCGGAATGAGGGGAGGTCATTATGTGGCCACTCAGGAGCAAGCACTTGTAGTCCCCCTAAGGGAGATGCCATATCTTCCTTTGCTTCTGTGAGAGTTGTAGCGTGCTCGGTTGTCGGCGTCAATGGGACCTTCTGACTTGCCGAGCTCGCTCCATCGGTATCATTTGCAACAGACCTAGTCACAATAGCAGCCCGGAGTTCTAGCAATAGTAAATGACGTGAGCCCAGGTAGGTATTTCCACGATCAGCCATGCCCCGAAGAAGATTCAATGCGGTCTCCATGGCTCGTGCGCTGGTTTCGTTGGGCGGAAATGCAGCATTTACCATGACAAGTAGCAGTGCAGCGGAGAAGATGTACTCGCCGTCAAGGTAACCATATGTAGCTTATCTGTTGTTAGCAGATGACTGCATGGCCCAAGGTATGGCTTTATTCGACAATTGCTTACCAATGAGGTTGTGTTTTGCGGCGGCATCCATGATCAAAGTGGTTGCTCGAGCAGCTGTAATACAGCTATCAATAACGGCAACAGTATTGGGGGCGAGGCCTTCTTTCCAATCTTCCGTGGCAGACCCAAGTGCTTCCGCATCAAGTCGGCGTTGAATGACATAAAATACTAACGGGCGTGCAGTCATGTTCACGCATGAATAAAAGTGTAAGTTGATAGAAACGGACTCTCGATTGACATGTGTTTCAAGTGTTGAGAAGTCAATACGAAGACGATCAGGGACCTGGCGTAGCCATCCAGAGAGATCATTCGTTATACTCTGAACGGAAGCAATGAGGTTGGACCCCGATCCGGGCTTCTTTCGATAAATTTCTAGCAAAGATCCTAGGTCAGCTTAGTTATGCAATGGAATATACATGCAGTCTGACCTTCGCCAATCCGTCCCAGGATACGGGATAGCTTTGTGTAATGAGTGAGAACAGTTGATGGCCATGGATCGAATGTTGTTCCGTCCTAGTTGGAGAGAATCAGACCAATCTTGTTAATATACCAGGACCACATACCACTACCGCGGGCCAGGTTATACCAATATCTTCATCATGGATAGTTATAGGATTCCCAGACTTGACCGAAAGTATCCTGTTCACGGATGTAAGCTGAAATTCTAGACAAAAAGAAGATCACTGGTACTTGCCGATCCAAGCTATAAACAGACCACCAAGCACGACGTCGACGGTTGCGGTCAGCCTCGCTTATTGTTGGGTCTGAAACCTCCTGGTGAAGACCTAGGGATATGGCCATACGCAAGGCCAATCCGATCTAATATTGTTAGCCATTTTGCAGAACAACAATATTAGTAGATTTTCATACGTAGAGAAAAGCAGCATCACGCCGGTTCAGGTTTTGCATGTAGTATGCTACATAACATAGCACCTCAACAAAAAAAATAGAGCCCTCCTCGTGGATATCAGGTAAAAATCGTAACGCGTGCTTAAAATACTTAAACCCAGGAGGGCCGTCATCACCTGCCCACTGATTTACAGAATACATCAAGCCAAATGCAATGACGAGTAGAGTCTGACAATATACCAAACTCGACTCTCGATGCGACAGGTCAAGTGGTTGATGGTAGACCAGGTCAAGTCTTTCTTCGAATTCTGCCGGGTGGATGAGTGAGAAGATAGTGCCAATATAGGCATATTGCACCCAAAACAATCGTTTAGCGAACTCAAAAGGAGGCAATTGAGGAAGTGTGCCACCAACTGGCCGTCTTAGTGATGAAGGGTCATCGTAGAGTGGCCGCACATCCCATGCAAGATTGGAGGATCCGGGGTTGAGTCGTTTAGCTAGATGCGTTGTGGACGAAGCACCCACGAAGTCTTGAAAATCATCAGTGAGATACTGTCATTCTTTCCGTGAGGATTTTTCACATACGATGCTCTCCTGATCGGTTCAGAAACAAGTTGTCGGTTCCTTTGTACCACCAATCGTCCCGTTCTGGGGCCGTTTCAGTGTCAGAATAGCGAGTAGACAATGAAGGTTCACTATAAATTATTGACTGGTTCTTTTCTGCTATGGGATTCCCACGTGGTGAGCCATGTGTGGTGGACAGCGTCCCTGGGGCTTGTGATTGTAGTTGACGATAGTAGCTGTAGACCGTTAGTGTCGGGGTATTCACCACTTTGAATTTCACCAACCTCTCGGTAATCGAGACCCGTTTTTCTGCTTCTGAGTACATGCATGTTTTTCCCGCCTCCACACAGGCAGCGCAGGGATGTGGTGGATTACCGGCACAGCGCGTTTTCCGTCCTCGGCATCGGTTACATCTGCATCTCTCTCAGCGAACCGTCAAATCACGTTGTCCCATATACACGATGCATACGCTACCATTGATCGCCTTGATCGATCTTCCGACCGACGCGATACGCCTGCATTGCCAAGTACCATATTTGACGACGCTTAGAGAGAGAGTTAAGTGAAGTTGAGGGGTTTCTCCACTCTTATCTTTTGTCGGGCCGAAACACGAGGGCGGTTAGGGTTTACATCGACTGCAGTTCACTCGACTCGATCAACTTATGGCCACTGTGTTTGGAGGACGAGTCGCTCGAGGAACCTCAATACGATCATGAAAGTCACAGTGGGGCAGAACTGACGTGAACTGATACCTTGCACAGCGCTTGACTAACCGCGGCTATTGCATCAGACATTTTTATACGTCAATTCTGTTAACTTGCCTAGGAAGACAGTTGGCAGGGAAGGGCCAGATACCTTGTTGCTAGATCAGAACATATAAGAGCCATACTAGGCTTACTATCCCGGGTTGTACCAGTGTAGATTCCTACCGCAGGACCTCGCAACGAACTCCGATATGATATTTGAGAACTCGGACTAGAACCGAAATGTCAAAATATAGCAGTATCGACATTCTATGGCCCGAAAATCAGGCTATGCTTTTTGTAGCGAGCATAACGAAGACAGAGTTGGCACCTCGCTACTCGAAAGATATATTTCACCAACATATCGTCTTCATTTACGTTTAGAGAAGGGCTGTGGGCAGCACGTCGCCTGAAACAGAGCCTTTGCCCATGTTAGGCTCCCATCGTAGATGGTGACATCCAATTGTCTAGGCGAGATGCCCTAAAAATAACACTTGCATAAGATTGGCAATGGTATTGCATAGCAACTGTGGATGTATCATCTGGCCGCGTACTGTACGCTAGGCAGTCATTTTTCACCACATTGCTTTTTGCGAGACGACCCATTTCGAGTTGTATAGAATACGAAGACTACTGAATTTATATATCATAATGAAGCCCTGCCAGTATACAATGGTACCAATGGACAGCCTATCTCATCGAATTCGGATTGAACCGGCGAGACCTCCAAGTACAAATGACGATCAAATCGTGATCAAGAGAATGAGCTCAGTAGATGTCTTACTCCACACAGCCCGCCTGTGATTCTCATGATCCTACTACTTCCTCCTGCTACGACTGCGCTGTCCGGCAATCCATCGACGAGACACGTATACACCCAGGTCACCTGACCCCACGTGACACACAGCCACGCCGTGGCATGTCGCCCTCTGTTGTCTATTTTTTTCTCTCATCTTAAAAGAGGCTCCCGCATACCCAATCATAGCGGCAATTGTGGACCTCAGTGGACCAGTCGCAGCCTCAGAATTCAGCCCCTGGGAGACACGGCCGATCCTTTTCTCATCTTTGTCGTCATCGTCCGGCAGTCCTCGGCCCCCAGCCGCCACCTTGGATGCTTGGCATACCCTGTTGCCCCTACAGGGTGTTGCCCCAGCGTGTTTCAGAAAGATCGAAGGGATGAGCAGCATGTTTGGAGGACACATGTAATGTACAGTACTGTGTGAATGGACCCGGTCCCATGGGCCAATGTTGGAGGCGCATTGCGTTGGTGACCCGCCTTCCACAATATCGACGAGTTACGTGCGCAAAGCCTCGGATCCCGGAGTCGAATTTACACCCGTACCATGGACAAGGCAGAGACCAAATAGAACAGCACAAGAGGACTTACCAGATCCACGTATTGAGTATACGCAGGGGAGCAGCCAACCCCCTCTGAGTACGGTGGTGGATCTAGGGGAGGTTGGATGACGAACGGCATACTGTATGCTGCGCTGGGGTCCCCACTCGCCCTTTCACAGCCCATCATCGGCACCTCCAATCAAATTCTGCACCAAAAATATCTCCTGTCTAGCGCATTTTCGATACATCTTCTCCTGCTCATCTCTCGACACTTCTCAACTTAGGAAGTCTGCCTTGTATTGGTGATCTCTGGATAGATCGCCTGTCTTCGAACACCACGAATTGCGATCACAATCGAATGTGTCCAGGTCAGGTGTTGTGAATCGACAGTTCTGAGCCGCGAGCTTCCTTCGGATCCAATACAGACTTCTTAGTCCTTGTTTTCACTTACAACGAGACATTCTTCTGCTGCGGAGTCAGTTTTACAAAATGTCTGTACCGCCGCGGGAAACCTCTCCACATTCGCCTGTCTCGGGCAACTCGTCTCATTCGCCTCTGGCGAGCGAGACCAGTCTCTATGGAACTCGTGAAGTGAGTTAACGTCTCTACTGAACGAAGCAGCGGGACCAATCAGCAAAAGCTAACATGCGCCGTTCTAGCAGCAAGCCTATGGCTACGAAGAGAAGAACGATAACGCGGAGAGCCAGCAGTCCTTGCTCTACCGTCAGCAACCCAGTCCATTTAACGCCCCCTTTGATGACCCTTATGCCTCGTCCGATTCCCTTCGTCGCTACACACTCCAGGATCCCGGTGTCACCATCTTCCCTGATGGCCCATATCAAGAGTCAGCCGCTGGGTTGAACCGCCGCTCCGCCGTCGGATCACCCATGTCAGAGACTCCGTCAGAAGCCTGGCAAAATCGACAGGCGCCGAGCTCCGGGGACTGCGCCGCTATGCCACCCGTAAGATTAAGCTAGTGCAGGGTTCGGTTTTGAGTGTGGACTACCCGGTTCCAAGTGCAATTCAGAATGCGATCCAGAAGGAATATCGGGAGTCAGAGGAAGGATTCCCGGAAGAATTCACCCACTTGCGCTGTAAGTTTTCTGAGCGCGATTTTGGATGGCCTTGGACTAAATTTTTACAGATACCGCGGCCACTTGTGATCCCGACGAGTTCACCCTACGGAACGGATACAACCTGCGACCGGCTATGTACAACAGACACACAGAGCTTCTGATTGCGGTTACTTATTACAACGAAGACAAAGTTCTGACAGCCCGGACATTGCACGGTGTTATGCAGAATATCCGGGATATCGTCAACCTGAAAAAGTCCGAATTTTGGAACAAGGGTGGTCCGGCCTGGCAAAAGATTGTTTGCTGCTTGGTATTCGATGGAATTGACCCTTGTGACAAAAACACTCTGGACATGCTGGCAACAATCGGTATCTATCAAGATGGTATCATGAAGCGTTCCGTCGACGGACGGGAAACTGTTGCCCATATCTTCGAATACACCACACAACTTTCAGTGACCGCCAACCAGCAACTGATCCGGCCTCAGGGTAACGAGTCAACCAACCTTCCCCCCGTCCAGATGATCTTCTGTCTCAAGCAAAAGAACTCCAAAAAGATCAACTCTCACCGCTGGCTATTCAACGGCTTCAGTCGCATCCTTAACCCCGAGGTAGTGATTCTGATCGATGCCGGCACTAAACCCGGAAAGAAATCGCTTCTTGCTCTATGGGAATCCTTCTACAACGATAAGAACCTAGGTGGATCATGTGGCGAGATTCACGCTATGTTAGGAAAAGGATGGAAGAACCTAATGAATCCTCTTGTCGCCGCGCAGAACTTCGAGTACAAAATTTCCAACATCCTCGACAAGCCGCTAGAGAGTGCTTTCGGTTACGTCAGTGTGTTACCGGGTGCCTTCTCTGCGTACCGTTATCGCGCAATTATGGGTCGTCCCCTCGAGCAGTACTTCCACGGTGACCACACTCTCTCGAAGCAACTAGGCAAGAAGGGTATCGAAGGCATGAATATCTTCAAAAAAAACATGTTCCTTGCCGAGGATCGTATTCTATGTTTCGAACTTGTCGCCAAAGCTGGTTTCAAATGGCATTTGACCTATGTTAAGGCGTCTAAGGGTGAGACTGACGTACCAGAGGGCGCAGCTGAATTCATCAGTCAACGTCGTCGATGGTTGAACGGTTCATTCGCTGCTAGTTTATATGCCATGATGCATTTCGGACGTATCTACAAGAGTGGGCATAACATTCTGCGGCTGTTCTTCCTGCATATCCAAATGATGTACAACTTTGCCGGTCTTGTCATGACCTGGTTCTCTCTTGGTATGAGCATTTGCCTTGTGTCCCCAGTGAAATTGATACTAACTTGTTGATAGCTTCGTTCTGGCTGACCACTTCGGTTATCATGGATCTTGTCGGAACACCTAGTTCCGCCAACAAAAATAAGGGATGGCCCTTCGGTAATGAGGCTTCTCCAATTGTGAACAACTTCTTGAAGTATGGCTATGTTTTCTTCTTGATGCTGCAATTCATTCTGGCGCTAGGAAATAGACCTAAAGGGTGAGCTTCTGAAACAACCTATCTCATATGATCAAAGACTAACTTACTCAGTTCTCGTTTGGCCTACACGCTCTCGTTTGTCTACTTCAGTATCGTTCAAACCTATATCATGGTCCTTTCATTCTATCTCGTCAAGAATGCCTTTACTGGAGGTACCCTTGATTTCTCCCTGGACGATGGTGTTGGGGCATTCCTTTCATCATTCTTTAGTTCCAGCGGTGCTGGTATTGTTCTGATCGCCTTGGTCTCTACCTATGGTATTTACTTCATCGCCAGTTTCTTGTACATGGACCCTTGGCACATGTTCACATCTTCCTGGGCGTACTTTGCTGGTATGACTTGCTCTATCAACATTTTGATGGTTTACGCTTTCTGTAACTGGCATGACGTTTCTTGGGGTACTAAGGGATCAGACAAGGGTGACTCGCTTCCAGTTGTTGAGACTAAGAAGGACGATGCCAAGTCGAACTTCATTGAAGAAGTTGATAAGCCGCAAGCCGATATTGACAGTCAGTTTGAAGCGACGGTTAAACGTGCCTTGGAACCATATGTGGAGCCAGAAGAGCAAGATGAACGAAGCATGGACGACGGTTATAAGGCTTTCCGAACCAACCTGGTGTTGATCTGGATCTTCAGTAACCTGATTCTCGCGCTGTGCATCACTAGTGAAGGCATCACTCGTTTCTGTCTTACGGTATGTTCCCTCCACCAATTTGATTGTTCACCCTAACTGACAATTCACAGAACACATCTACAGTTCGTACCTCCAAATATTTCGCTGCCATTCTGTGGACGACCGCCGGCCTGTCGATTTTCCGCTTCATTGGATCTTTGTGGTTCTTGGGCAAGTCTGGTATTTTGTGCTGTGTTTCCCGACGCTAGAACCCCTCTGGGTTTTGCGAACCAGCTGTAAATATTACCGTTTGTCTTGGCTTTGGGATATCGTCTGCGAAGGATTTGATTTGATAAATATTTGTTTAGTCAAATCCTGCATTATTCCGAGGTCCGCCTCTGCAGCTGGATTGGCATTTTGTGCTTCATACTGTATGTAACATGTATATTGGGCGAGTCTTTTTTTTCGTTTTATTGTCATCACGATAGACCTAATTTATCGAAGCATTCCACAAATTCCTGCGCTTAGATCTATGTGGCGCTCCAGTTTCCCACTTCTCTGCTATACCACCTATATCTGCTCCCAGTCCCAGCCGGTTATCAGTCCAACCTATCAAGCTGGGATACTAATGAGACTTGCGTCCGAATCAGGATCTACGAGGCATGAAGGTATGATTTCGGTGTACGCGGCTGGTAATCTGCGCCTGCCCAAACCCAGATTGAGACTATTTCGACTTATCATACAAGAACCACCTATGATATAGGATACAAATGAAGGTCTGCTCTGTGCTATCCTGTATTTACTCAAATCCTGATGTATGAAACATTTGTGTAAGCCCAGTTCTCAATTCAAATATCACTGGTTCAGGCTTCCCTGAGATCTACTGCTGCGCAGACACTCTCCACTTGTCTGTCTTATATTAGCTAGTCTAGATGCAACGGCCAACTCCTCTTAGCATTGGCATTCTAAGCAAAGTAAATGGTAGAAATATGCAACCCATTTGGAAGCTCCTTGCAACATTCATTTGATGACGTTGTTCTACAGCTTTAGCGCGCCACAACCACCCATCTCTATATTGACCAGGAGCAGTGAGACTGCTAAGAGTGTATTCTCACGGGGTTCAAGAGGCAGATCACGTTCGCAGACTCGTGTCGTTCTTCAATAGACCACGAGACCCGAAATATGAACAAATAATAGAAATGCAGCACTAAACAAGTGGGCATATACCTAGTAAAGTCTTTGGAATAGAGAAAAACATTATAATTATTGGCCAACGCTATCTATATATGCAACCTTGATTTAGCAAAACGACGTTTCACATCCCCCATATTTTATGCTTGAATATTCCCCAAAACGCCAGATTTCCTCTTCTCAATGTATGCTCTGGATTATTTGAATGACTCCCGGGTATGCACGCGGTCAATGTTATAAGGATTGGCCTCGTATGTAGGAACCCGGTGCATTGCATGTGTAGTGTGGGTGGATGAGCGTGAGAGTGTGCGATGAACAGAGTGAACATCCGCTGAAGTCTGTTCCTTTGGCTCGGGGAGCGAAGCCACGTCGTCCTCCTCGGGCTGGTTAACCTCGGGTTCATCCTTTTCGGAGCCCTCCTCCGAGGCCTTTTTCATGGTTGCGAGGATGTTTTGAACAAAAGCTTCCGACTCGGCAGAGTATTTGCAATGCTTTCGAATGGAAAGACCATACTTGTAAAGCAGGAAGGGGAACGGCACGCATGCAAGGGCCAAGAAGGCCGGAATACAAGATGCCCAATGAATTCCCAGGTTTTGGAACATGTAAGAGGTGAAGAGCGGGAAAGCAAAGCCGAACAACGACCGGAGAAGGGAGTTTGCAGCCAAAACAGAGGCCGCGAAGATAGTGTAGGCATCAATCAGATAGTTAAAGACGCTGAGGAAGACGAGCACCATTCCGAATCCGAAAGGTACTCCAGCAGCAATGCTCGCAAGCCAATGGACCGACGGCGAGTTAGTCCAGGCAAACCAAAAGAGGCCTATCGGAAGGGCAAGCGAGGCCAGCATGCATGGCGGAAGACGGGCCTCCGGAGGCGCATAACCTCCCTTCTTGTCGAGGAGTTTGATATAGCGCGAATTCTCGGGGATCGAATAGGCGATAGCACAGAGCATACCCACCATCACACCAAGGAAGGCAAGACCCGAAACACCTTGGTTCCATCCACGATGAATCTCATACACAATGGGGAAGGCACCGAAAAGCATGTATAGGGTTCCGTAGATAATAGCAAGGTAGATGGAGAGCAGCAGCACGATAGGCTCGCGAAACAACAGAATGAAGGGCCGCGAGAGGGAAGTCTTCATAGCAGCCTTCAGAGTGACACGTCCTTGATCAATATCCAGTTTGCTGCAGTACACCTGACCGGTCATTTTGGAGAGAGTCTTCGCGCGCTGACGTAGGAGAACCGGAGCATAAGTCTCAGGCTTCAGGGCGGCTCCCACAAACCACATCACACCGCAGAGAATGGTCAACAGGCCCATAACCCATTTCCAACCCGCGGCCATACCAAGGAATCCACCGGCGATAGGTCCGATGACGGGACCGAGGAAGGGTGCCAATGCAAAGGCCGAAAGGGCCAGACCTCGCTGGCGAGCCATGAACATGTCGGCAATGACACCGCCTGAGTTGGTGAAGGGCGAGGAACCAAACGCGCCCGCCAAGAAACGGAAGATCAGTAGACTCTCGATGTTCTTTGCGCCAATGCAGGCGGCACAGAAGATGGTCAGGCCACAGTATGTGGTGATGAAAACCGATTGGCGACCGAAAAGCTCACTCATGGGAGCCCATAGGAGAGGACCCAGGGCAAATCCAAGCACATAGAGTGAGACCCCCAACGTCGCAATCTCCGTGGTTGTTTCAAACTGTTCTTCGATTTGAATGATACCTCCCGTGTATGCTGAGGAGACGAGAGCGACCACTAGGGTCTCGAGGGCTGCGACGACCGTAACCAGCCATTTTAACGAAGGCTTCAACTGGAGAGGGTTTCGAAAATCGTTTGGAAGCCATTGAACCACATATGGATCCTCCTCCGTTCCTGATCCGGCGTAATGATGGTCTGCCACCTCTTGGGTGATCACACCAGGGTCGATAACGAGTCGCCAGAAAGGCACCTTGGTGGGTAGCTGTAGGGCCTTGGCTGAGGGCATCTCCGCGGCCATGATCGACAGCTGTCTAGCTTGAGCTGGTAGGAAATAAAAATGAGGGTCAAAGATTTCCGATCGACACCATATCAGTTCATATTAAAGGGAAAAGAGAAAAGCCCTGGACCTCGGCAGAAGCCGAATTTTGCTTGATAATAGACGGTATACTCCATAGTGAAATCCACTCACAGCATCAAGACCGGAGACACTGCTGGATTAGGGTCTGAGATAGAAGGGGTGGAGCAAGCAGTTGGCAACACCACGGAATTAGCCCTAACTATTGGCTGTTTGCGCTGTGAGATCCCGACTGTCGGCCCACTCAGTCGGCCCGATCACTAATCTCTCGGCCTCGCCGATGGGCGCCATTGGTGGGAAGAGTTTTAGCCGAGGTTCACTGGCATTTATACTGGTATAATGGTCCGCGATTGGTGGTCTCGGTGCATTTTGATTGGATGCATAAAAGCCACGACGCGTTGTGATGTGATTCTGTGATTCCCGACTGTTAGCTCTTTGTGACAGCTCAGACCTGCTAGGATCCCCGAGCTCTGAAAAAGCCCAGTCTCGTTTTGGTATGATTGGAACGAAAGCAGCATTCAACCGGAGGCTCATGGATCGATGGACACACTACTGGAATGAACTGCCCGTTGCTGGGGTAACAATCGATCTATGGAATGGATCGGAAATGCTTATTTCTAGACTCTTCATGTATATCCTGCACGAGCGGTTCTTCCCTATAACCTCTTCTCAATCTCACTGACTTCTGCCATCACCGTTCGAATAGCCGTTTTGGCCCCCTCGCTCACCTCTTCGTACGGGTGTCGAGGGGCCAGATTTGCCGCTGCATCCGGAATCCCTGCTAGTTGGGCTGAATAGCATGCGACCGCATGTTTAGTGGATGCAATTCCGCTTTTGATAGGGCTCTCTGCGAGGGCTGCTTTTCTTTGAAGCGTCACAGCCTCGTCCACTTGTCCCTTTTGGTACAAGGTATAGATCTGAGCCGCTGTCTTGGGGAAAACATTGGCGAAAGCTGCGATGCACCCAACGCTTCCAGCCGCAAGCCCTCCAATCAAGAAATCCGACTGTCCACCATAGGTTGCAAAGGTGCCGGGCGCAAAAGTCGCGGCCAGTCGAGTAATCTTTCCGACCGATCCACAGGTGAGCTTGACGCCGACCACGTTGGACTGCCCACTGGGGTGTGACGATGCCGACTTCTGCACAATCGCCGTGATGGTCTCCGAGTCCATATCTACCCCATTGCAAACGCCGGGGAAATTGTAGAGAACGACAGGAAGCGAGGACTTGGCGGCAACCTCAGAAAAGAAGCGCTTGACCACATTCATGTTGGTGGCTTTGCCAAAATATGCAGGAGGGAGGACCAACAGATAGTTGGCGCCCGCAGCGGCCGCATCTTGAGCAAGCTCCAGGGTTTGCTTGGTCGAGTGTGCACCAACCCCGGCCATCAATGGGAAATCAGGGCCCACAGCTGCACGAGCCGTTGCAATCAACTGCGATCGCTCTTCGCGAGTCAGGAGGAAGGCCTCAGAGTTGGTGCCCAGGATGACTAGACCCGCCAGACCGGTAGTCGACAGATAGGCAAAGTATTTTGATTGTGACTCGAGATCGAGAGAGTCGGTGCCATGGTGAAAGAAGGTGACTGCAGGACACCAGACGCCGGAGGCGGGCACATGAGGCTGAGAGGAAGTAGATTGAGAACCCATGATGAAAGAGATGAGACAGATGAGAGTGATAAATGTGCAGAGAGTAGTGTCTTGACTCTTTATCTCTCTTGACTTATATAAGGGGACTGTTCCCTGTTCCCTGTGTACTGTTGAGGGGAAAAGTGATCGGATGCCCATACCGAACTCTTCCCTCCGCAACCCCCCCCCAAACCCACCTTCGGCCCATCAACCCGATCCTCAACTCATCCATTTCCCTTTGATATTGACGTCGGTCTGTCTTCCGAGATGAGGGGGAAATCGGCGCGTATGCGAGAGATTCGGCCAGCGACCCGAAATCTTGTTGGACATTATAATCTTAAAATGCTCTTGTTTGGACTCCTGAAGAGACCATGAATCGTTGAATCATTGAATCATTGAAACAATGATGACCGAAACAGAAACCCTCCCGCAGTCCTGGTTTGATCAGGCTCGCTTGATCCCGCCCGATGCGATCTTTGCGTTGACTGCTCTGTACGTCGCAGATCCGTCACCTCAAAAGGTCAATCTAGGCCAAGGCACATACCGAGACGAGAAGGGGAATCCTTGGGTTCTTCCATCAGTCAATCAGAGTCGAGAGCTGCTATCATCGCAGGGGCTGAACCATGAGTACCTCCCAATAGTCGGTCTGGCAGAGTTTCGCAAAGAGGCAGCGAGACTGGCATTGGGGGATGTGCTGTTCGCAAAGAAACAGAATCAGGTATGCATTCCCTCGTATCTGGGAAGCAAGGAGCTGATCGACAACAGCTCGCAACGTGCCAAAGTCTCTCCGGCACCGGAGCTCTGCATCTTGCTGGACTATTGCTACGAGCATGCAAAACACCGTTGCCCAAGATATACATCCCGGAGCCGACCTGGTCGAACCACCACCAAGTGTTCGCATCACTCGGATTCCAGTGCGAAAGTTTCAGATACTACAATCCCGAGACTAGAGAGCTAGATATTGATTCCTATTACGCGACATTGAATTCCGCTGAACCGAACTCCGTGGTTATCATCCATGCGTGTGCGCATAACCCGACCGGATGCGACCCGAGTAAGGAGCAATGGCGAGAACTGGCGCACCTTTTCAAAAAAAGACAGCTGTTCCCTCTGTTTGATGCTGCTTATCTCGGCTTCAACTCCGGCAATGTAGACAACGATGCTTTTGCTATCCGATTATTCGTTGAGGAAGTAGGAGTAGAGGCTGGAGTTTGTCTCTCGTTTGCGAAGAATATGGGACTTTATGGTATGAGAACAAGCCACGCAATGTCTGGAATAATGTCTGATACCGATTAGGGGAGCGAGTGGGTTGTTTCTTACTCGCGACACATACCGAGCAAGCGGCCATGAAGACTCAATCCATGCTTGAAATGCTGCAGCGATCTGAAGTTTCAAATCCACCAGCTTACGGCGCAAAGATCGCAAGCACTATATTATCTAGCACTGATCTGCGACAGGCTTGGTATCACGATCTGATTACCATGAGTGACCGTATAAGATCTATGAGAAAGGCACTGTATGACACGTTGGTGTCATCGGGTAAGTCTCCTGAAAGGAAGTATGCGACCACACTAACATGATTAGGTGCACCGGGGCCTTGGGAGCATCTCATCCGCCAATCCGGAATGTTTGGTTTCTTGGGATTGTCCCCAAGTGTCGTCCTTAAACTGCGTGGTTCGTTCTCCCCTTGAAGTCACGGATGCCAGCACGCTGACACTATACGAACCACAGAGCACTATCACATCTATATGGCAGACAACTCTAGAATCTCCATTGCCGGTCTCAATGATGGGAACGTGGAGTATGTTGGATTATCCATAGCCGAGTGTCTGAAATGAGAAAGTTAGTTTAGGCTTTTTTGTTTGTTGATTGCACATCTAGAAAGAATAGAACACAACTCCTTGGTGTGATATCCTTTTTGCACTTGCAATTAGATGTATTATGTGGCCAAGTGAGTCGAGAGTCCGAGGAGATAGAAGTATAGACACAGAGCTGGGTAAGTGGCCCAAGATGGTCATTACTGCAAGTCTTGCATCACATACTATCACAATGGCGGGGGGTTTCACCTGTACGGACAGTCTCAAATGCTCAAGATGGCCACTCGAATAGAGCAATGTGAAGCGATAGAAGCAGTTCATAGTCTTCGGCAAGCCGAAACCTGTCGGTCGCCCGTCCTGGGCAATATTTTTGTCTAAGACATGCCAAGCGGAGGCGTTGTCATTCGGTTATGAAATTTTTTTCCAAGGAAATCCGACCCGAGCCATTGGCGGGAAACCAGACGATTAGGAGATATGAAGGAGCTTGAGTCGCTGCTTGCAAGAATTGGACTTAGATGCGAGGTTCATTTGAGCCCAGTTGCACCCTCAGCTGCTGAGGGCCTGTTGTCAGGCGAATATGCCAAGGATGTCGTCCTTGGCCCACAAATGACCTCGGCGGCAGAACCATGGAAGAGAGTAATGCAGAAATTATTACCGGAGTGGCTGTCGCAGACGCAGCACGGCATGAGAGAGACGAGTTCATTGCGATAGCCATTGCTGGATTCCGCAACTATGGGCATCCGTTGGAACTGCTTGAGCCATAGGCGAGGATTGTGGCAACCCAAGAGGACGCGAATCTATATCCGGTCAGAATCAACAACCCAGATTACTGCACTGGTGATATACTGCTGCTCTTGCAATGATGGATAAGGGGCACAACTGGGTCCTCCTTGAGACATAAACGACGCCCAACACTTCCGGTGGGTTCCACCTAGAAACTATCACCAGTATTGGAAACGGGAGAGCAAATCGTGGTAGGGTCAAATATGCTCGTGGACACGAAGATAAATGTTCCCCAAACGTCAGACATGTCAAACAAATACCGCATGGTGAGATTGAGTGGAGTCGAGCTATTCATTCGTATCGTGTTTCAAGCCGAAGAGGATTCAAACTTCTCCTCCAGGTCGATGAGAGTCGGAGAATGAGACTTTATTACGTACAAACACCCCGGATGAGTCTGGGGCAGTTGGAGGAGGCTTTTGGTTTCCCAGGACGAATGTAGCGATGTTCAGCGTAGCCAGACTGGGCCACCCGCACGTCTCGGGCGGGACGACGAATCATACCATGCTTCATTGGCGCTAATGTGTCCCGACCGGCACGACTAAGCCCAATGGCGTTGGTGGCGCTCCACCATCCAGGTCCCCTTACCCCAAGAGAAGAGTTTCTGGGGAGGGGGTCGAGACGGAGGGAAAGACAAGATAATGCAGGCCGATCAGACCAAGAGCGAGAACCGGAGAAAGCGCTTGCCAACTCTCTGCCCGACTCTCCAGCCCCAATCCCACGCTTGGTTGCCCAGTTGTCCCTTGCAGATCTGAAGTCGAAAAGTGTAACTGTTTGCGGGCATCACGTGACGGGCAAAATCTTGTTTCCGCCCAGCCCTGACCTCATTGGCAGACGGCCATCTTCTCGGTAATCATCCGAAGATCGTGGCGCGACTAACGAAACTTCTTTTCAGGTCATTCTATCATGACCAGTGCAAGAGGTGGCCTCCGTATATCCTAGAATCGAGATGAATTCCTGCAGTTTCCACGTTCCCCGCGTATGCAAACGCGGGGAGACTCCATAGTGACATACTCGCCGAACAGCCCCAAGCGTTCCACGTCCAATGCCACTCGGTGTTACATTTCTTTTACCTAACCTCGAACCTTCTTATCGACTGTATCAACGGGGCGCGGGCTGAGTTTCGCCTAACGCCCCCGTGTGGAACGATTCCAACCTGCATGCGGTGTCCTCGTTGGATAGTCGATCTCTCGGTGGAGCAGCGTCGTACTCCACGTGGTGGACCAGCCAAGCAGCGTTCTCGAAATTCCTTTAGTCAACGCAATCTGCGATTTTGCCTCCCGATAACCGCATTCGAGGCCATTGCGAAATTTCCTTCTTATAGCTTCCCCCATCCCCCCTTCTCTTCCCGTTGGGTTCAAGTTTACCACCATCATGGGTTTCGACAATATCTCCAACGACCATGAGACCGACAAGGTGATGGGAGCGGAGGGCGAGAAGGCCCCATACTCCCCGCCGCCACCTTTCGAGGGGGACATAGTGGGGGAAATGAGTGAGGCGGAAAGGAATATCTATGATCACGGCATCAACAAGTTTAACCGTCTCGGCTGGAAGCGTCTCACTATTGTCCTCATTGTGGAGGCCATTGCCCTGGGTAGTTTGTCGATTCCTTCTACCTTTGCGACACTGGGCATGGTGGCAGGTGTGATTTGCTGTGTGGGTATCGGCCTCATCGCCATCTATACCAGTTATATTGTGGGAATGGTCAAATTGGCCTTTCCCGAAGTGGCTACTTATGCCGATGCAGGCCGGTTGCTTGGCCGTCGGTTGGGATGCGGACGCTTTGGATACGAGCTCGTCAACGCTATGCTGGGTCTTCAGCTGATCTTCCTGACGGCATCGCATTGTTTAACCGGAACGATTGCATTCTTGGACATCACCAAGAGTGGCGTTTGCTCGATTGTCTTCGCGGTTGTCTCAGCAATTATTCTGCTTTTGCTTGCCATTCCTCCCAGTTTCACCGAGGTTGCTATCCTCGGCTACGTCGATTTTGCCTCAATTATCATCGCCATTGGCATCACAATCATCGGCACTGGAATCAAAGCGGGAGATTCTCCTGCGGGCTTGACTGGAGTCGCATGGTCCGCTTGGCCTAAAGAGGGGATTACCTTTACTGAAGCTTTTATCGCCCTCACCAATATCGTTTTCGCCTACAGCTTCGCCATGTGCCAGTTCTCCTTCATGGATGAGATGCACACACCACGCGACTTTGTTAAATCTATCTGGGCGCTTGGTATCACGGAGATCATTATCTATACGGTTACCGGTGCTTTGATCTACGCCTTTGTTGGCCAGGACGTCTCAAGTCCTGCTCTCACCTCGGCCGGACCACTTTTGAGTCGCATTGCATACGGTGTTGCCCTTCCCGTGATCTTTATTAGTGGTTCGATTAACACCGTTGTCTTCGGACGCCTGATTCACGGTCGCATTTTTGCCAACTCCCCTATTCGCTTCATTAACACCAAGATGGGATGGCTGACATGGCTGGCGGTGATCACAGCTGCCACCATCCTGGCATTCATCATTGCTGAGGTCATCCCCTTCTTCAATGATTTGCTTTCCATTTCCTCGGCCCTGTTCATCTCCGGTTTCACCTTCTACTTCCCTGCCATGATGTGGTTCTTGCTTCTGCGGGAGGGTAGTTGGAGTGAGCCTAAGAACATTGCATTGGCTATCACCAATGCGTTCATCTTCCTCATTGGCATGATAGTTCTCGTCGGCGGAACATACTCCAGCATTGACGATATTGTAAGTCTGACGGTTCAATTCTTATCGAGGATATTTTCCTAACTCAACATCACAGGTCATCAAATATGCCAAGGGAGAAGTTGGCGGTGTCTTCTCATGTGCAGCCCCTGAGTAAGACTCGCTTTTAATTATTGGCAATCCCACTGTATGAGTGTGTGTTCAAGCTGGTGCTTGCACTGAAACTCTATCAACCCTGGTTGGTTTGAAAGAGAATCTCTTCACTTTGGATCTGCGGCCTAGGAATCTATGATCCAGGCGTTACATTGCATTTACACGATACATCATCTACGGAAACATGAATCTGGAAGCGAAACCTGTATATATAGTCCATCTTAGCAATATTTATTTGAATATACCGTTTTCTTTTTTACTTTCCATCCTTCTTTGTGACTGGACCGTGACTTTCTGATAATCTTCACGTTGAGCGGAGAGACGAAGATGCGATTCCAAGCATCGGTCGACCACTAGATGATAAATTGGCAGACAATGCCTGTAAACGGTAAAAAAATGCTAGATCTATAAAGCAGAAGCTTTTCAAGTTCTCGCTTCGTCGCCACCGGCGCGAATTTGTTCAACCCATAGATCAACATTCTATTCATCCGTTGCAGCCTGACTAGTATCGTAATGAACATATAAGCATTTCTTTCCGACTGGAAAAGCAACCAGTCTACCGTACGCCTGATCGTGCTGCAGTATCAAATAAGTTGGTCCGCGAAGTAAGAGACAGTACTAGCCCTCAAGTGCTACATGTAAACCACACCCGTAAACCAATAGCGCAAACCAAGTGATACATTCATGCCGGTACGCAATATCTGCACAATCACTGCGAGGATCTGTCCAGTTCTCTATTATCCTCAGAACATCAATTTCACAGCATATAGTACACTCTCAACATCATGCCACTTCCGGTCAAATCCTGCAGTCTCAGATCAAACACCTTTCTCCGACATCCTCGCCTCAACTTCATTTATTATTCATTGTCTGTTAGCTGTCCAACTAGGCAGCGTGTATTCGAGTGGGGAGTCGATATTTGTCCTCCCTCGATTGTGGTAGCAAGCATTAGTGAGTGTCCAGCGTCTTCCGGACTCTGCAGCGTTTGTTTGTTTTGCCCTCAGTATTGATCTCAGCACTATATTCGAATAGAGTCTGTTTAACACATTATGGGCTTGCATCTCACTAAGGCTTGTAAGGTACATACCCAAGGGGCAAATAGGATATTTGAAAAAAGTTGGATCCGTTCAATGCTTTTACCTACCTGATTCTCACATCGACATTCCCACATCAACATACGATAGTCGTATCCCCTTTTCAAGATCAAAGCTCATAGTCAGAGATGTGGGTCATAGCAAGTGATCTGCTGTTAGACTGCCCTCTCTGGTACCGCTTCATATACTGTAGCAGCAAATTTAGTTGCAGACTTCCAAGAGGAGTGGGTGCAGATCACCTAATTCGGTTCCACATAGTTTTCCGACAACCCACGGCATAACCAGGCTGATATCTAGTATTGGGAAATGGGAAATGGGAATTGAGAACAGCATCAGCCTGTTCTGTCAGTGCAAGATACTGATGATTCGGCAGGGGAAGCCCTCAACACGACATATGCGGTGTGATTTCTTTTCCAAATTACCCGTGTCTTACATTAGGTGGATGATAGCCATCCTGTGAGACGACAGGGGCAATTGAATAAGGGGGAGACACCATTGATGTATATACGAGCTGACAAGTCTCCTTGAAATACTTGCAATCTATTCTTCACTACGATCCGTAATTACAGGTTGCCCAGCTGATCCACAGGTATGCATGAGTTGCCATACTATACAGGGAGGCGATGCATTCGGGGCCGAAGAATCTCGCCTTGGACATCCAGCTTCCCCGAGCACACGTTTCTGCTCAATTAGTATTTCAAGTAAACTGATCATGTCGGTAGGGGGAGGACTTACTACCTGGAAATTCCTTGCGTACGCCGCATGAACTCCCAACCCTCAACGCTAGCAAACCGACAAGGACCACCTGACAGATCTCCATAGCTAAAATAATCGGCAGATGATCACAAGAGACTGTACAGTCCTGTACAGTACAGTAGGCCAACGACCCAAAAAAGGCGCAGAAATGTGCGGGTGGCGGAATTCTAAAAATAAGCGCGTTACTGGCTAAGTCGGGCAGATCGGATTTGAGCCCTAAGAAGTAAAGCGGCCGAGTAGCAAAAACAGGTCTGCCTGCTTCCCCCGCTAACGAGCATCGCCTTCAACCTGATCTTCACATCTGATTGGGCTTGATCCGGCGCTATGGAGACGTCGGAGAAACATGTGGAGAGCGCTTGGCGTCCAGGGTCTGTGAAGAATGCCATCTGATTCACGATATGGCTCAATGATCCAGGTCATTTCAAGATTCCAAGATGCGAATTGATGCATGATACTCGATGAGACTGTCCCAGGAGGACTGGGGAAAAGGAGAACGGGAAGATTGGCATGGGGACTGAGACATTCGACCCTGAGAGCAATGCCCCATATAAGGGTCTCGTTTGATGTCATTTTGCGGTTTAGAGCGATGCTTGGCTCTATCAATAGCTCTCATGGGTGAAACATCTCGGGGACGGCAGTGGCGCATTTTAGCCGTTATGCCCCGGATTGAGGTATAAAAGCTGGCTGAATGGCAGGGAAAGATTTCCATTCCCATCTTCATCTTCCTATCTTCTCATACGACAGTCCTCGGATCTTTCCAATCGCCTTCAGTCGTCTCACATCTCCTTTACAACTTCACCATGCAGCTCAAGAACATCATTCTCGCCGCCTCGGTCAGCGCAGCTGCCTCTGCCGCCCCCTCTACCCAGTCCAACAAGACCTTCGGTGTCATCGCCATTCACTCTGGTAGCGGTGTGCAGAACGCTGCTTTTGATGCCTCTAAGAGCAGCATCTTCGCCGGTCTCGCCAAGCCCGGTGCCAGCTGCGCCCGCCCCAAGGAGCAGGATGCCACTTTCTACATCAACGACGGTGCTCTGTTCCTCTACGACAAGTCTGCCACTCCTCAGGAGATCTATGTCGACGCCTCTGGCATGGGTATGTTTGCTTTCCCCTTTCCCATATATGAAGCCAATCAAGCTAATTGAAAACAAAGGCCAGGGCAAGATTGGATACACCACCGGTGCTCAGCCCGCTCCCAAGAACTCCCAACGTAAGGGCTGGGCCTTGAAGGATGGACACCTCCAGTTCTCTGGCAAGGACCTGATTGCCTGCCCCAACAGCATTGACGGTGCCTGGAGCATCTGGGCCTCGGCTGGCATTGACAACCCTGCTGGCAACACGAACTGTGTTAGCATTGCTGCCCGCGTGATGGAGACATCCAACCCCAACGGTTGCAAATACACCGAGTAATGGGAATTTTCATATATGCCCGAGGCAACTCGAGGATGGTGACGGGCACCCTGAATCGAGTCGATTCAGGATTGCCAGAACCATTCGGATCTTGGAGCTCTTTTGTACCATTATTTTCATTTCATTAGCCAGCCCTTGCACCTTGACCCATCAGCCAATATATCTCTCAACAATGTGTGAGCATCATGTACGCGCCCTATTCAACTCTGTAGTTCCCTGTATTATGTAGAAGAATTGGAACCGAGTCGAGGCACCTGACCAGAGACCGGGACATAGGGGGATGAGTCAGCTGGTTACCACTTTCAGGTGTCGAGGTGTCGAGGTGTTCAGGTGAGTCAGGTGCTCAAGAGTCAGGTGCTCAGGTGTCAAGGTGTCAAGGTGTCAAGGCCCAGCTGTCACTTCCATTTCCCGCCAATCACCTTGAACTCACGAGCCTAAATCCCCCCAGACACACTCTTACCGAGTCCTAAAAAAAACTCGGCCCCAAACTGACCAATCGCCATCGCCCAAGCAGTCGGCAAATATCACCGAAATCCCCCCAGACACTGGAGGAAAATGAGCCTCGGACCTCCTGGCGTCTAGACTTTGGCTTTGGGGGAGTTTGGGGGACTGGCCCTGCAAAAAACATCCCCTGATATCTCTGAACTCCGGAACTCTGAACTCAGATCTCTTCACAATCTTCAACGTCTCATGTAGGCCACCACATCCTGCTTTCCATCCCCTCTTGGCTGATCCCATCAGGTATCCATCTTGCGCCGTGTCAGACCTCTTTGTCTGCCCTCGCTACCATCCGTCCTTGAGTCTACTCTAGTTGATGGCTGTGATCGGATGCGGATTCCAATCGCGGTGCAGCTGGGGCTGCTAGTGCTTCTAACAGCCGTCCTAGGAGTGGCAGTGCTCGCCATTGCCACGGTATCCGCTCCCAACCCTACCCCCGGCAAACAACATGAGTTCACTAACAATCGTAGTGGTTTACCACCTATGACTTTGTGGTCGGAGTTCAGTATGTACTCCAGGTTTAGATCGGAAGCCTGGTCGAGTCTAATGTGGGAGTAGATCACAGAGTCTAGAACTCGTTGCGACCATCAAGGCGAGCCAAATTGCCTCCAATTTAGATCTCCTCGAAACCACCTGCAAGACCATCGCGACACGCATTCTAATTCAATCGGCACTCAAGCGCTATTATGCCGGCAACAATACCGATGCAAATTGGGTAAACTCGATCGCCGATGTCCAGTCGGCGCTCGGAAGCCGGGGATACTTGAGCCTCTACCAGGCCATCATCTATTCCAACAATGGACAAGAAAACAAAGAGACACTGCTGAATGTGACGAGTGAAACAGTCCCAGACATCAAGCTACCATACTATTATCCCAATGGGAGCTCGGTGATGCTGGGCAATGAGGGAATAGGCTACCCGCCCTCGCTATATCCGAATTTGACGTACCAGGGCACAGGCGACAACGACTCCGTAACAGTCTATGCGTTCCCAGAGTATAGCCTTGGACTGGACTCGGCAATGCTCCTAGGACCTTTGAAAGTCAATACGTCCTTCTCCCTCGTATCCTTGACCCTGCCGATTGTCAACAACACATCGAACACGGAGATCCTGGGATTTGTGACGTGAGAATGCCGCCTTCACCGGCAAAAGATGCTCTACATCCCAAGATATGAAAGCTGACCCTGTACAGGATCGTCGCCAGTGCCGCCAATCTACAGAGTGTCGTGAGCTCACGGGATGGATTAGGGAATACGGGACAAGTGCTTTTGTTAGGGCCAACGCAGCCCGAAAATACATTCGTTGCCAGTGCTCAACCTGCAACAGCCACATCAACTGCGGACGCGGCTGGGCTGGAGAAAGCGCAGGTGCACTATGTCTTTGAGCCCACCCCCCTGCCCAGCCAGGCGAGCCGACACAGTGGGATGTCGACGGATACTCCCTTTGCACTCTCGACGTACCCGATGGCCATGAGAGCCATGTTGCAATCGTATGGTAACCAAGGCAAAGCTTTCAGCCAATTATCAACCCAGAACGAGAAAGGAATCAATGTGGCGGTTGGGGCGGTGCGTCCTCAAAATACCCTGGTTCAATGGGTTCTGCTCATTGAAGAATCCCATTCGGAAGCCTTTTCACCCATACTTCGACTACGGAAGATCATTCTCGCGTGTGTGTTTGGGACGGCTGGCGCAATCATCCTCTTCGTTCCTCTCTTGACGCATTGGGCGGTCGCTCCTATCCGAAGATTACGTGAGGCCGCGAAAAGGTCAGTCGAGCCTGAGATCGCTCGACATCCTGCGCCCTCAATCCAAGAGCGAACATACACAGGTACGGATGATGGACTAGGGGATCCGGTGGAACATATTGAAGAGCACATGAGCGAGAAGGTATCTCCGGCCGCCTGGGTGAAGCGTCTTCGAAACCCCCTGGGGAGGTTGAACAGTTCCACCGGCGTTGGCAATACCCGGAACGCTCGCGGATTTCAGGTACCTGGGAGAATAAAGGAACGGAAGCATTGTGTGACGGATGAACTCACAGAGCTAACAAAAACGTTCAACGAGATGTCCGACGAACTAACTATTCAGTACAATCGGCTGGAAGAGCGAGTGGCTGAGCGGACCCGAGAGCTTGAAAAGGCCAAATTGGCAGCTGAAACAGCCAACGAGAGCAAAACACTGTTCATTGCCAACATTTCTCATGAGCTGAAGACTCCCCTTAATGGAATTCTTGGAATGTGTGCCGTGTGCATGGGCGAAGAGGATCTTTCTCGAATCAAGAAGTCTCTGCAAGTCGTCTATCAATCAGGAGATCTGCTTTTGCACCTCTTGAATGATTTACTCACGTTCAGCAAAAACCAAATCGATCAAGCAATTCAGATTGAAGAGAAGGAGTTCAAATTGTCCGATGTTCGATCACAACTTGCCATCATCTTCCAGAATCAAGTGCATGAGAAGCATATCGACTTCAGTGTCAATTTTGTCTCTGGGGGAGTCACCGAGCCTAGGGGCACTGTGTGTCGTGACCGATCATCTGAGCAACAGAGTCCAGTCTTCGGCCTTTCTGCAAATGGTCGACTCTCAGACATGCTTCTATGGGGAGATCAGCATCGAATTCTTCAGGTGCTCATCAATCTGGTTAGCAACAGTCTGAAGTTCACACCCGAACACGGGAAAGTGGAGGTTCATATCCGTTGCATTGATGACCCTACCAACGAAGATAACTCTATAGCTCACAAAGATCGAACTCGACGCAACTCAAGATTCCGGTCTCCAACGGCTTCGAGTGCGACATCATCGATTGGTATCAGAGCGCACGCAAATGACGCCCAACCTGAGGGTCAGGTTATGATGCACCCCAATCTCCGCCAGGTGAGATTTGAGTTTGAAGTTCGTGACAATGGGCCGGGTATTCCTGCGCATTTACATCGACGTATCTTTGATCCTTTTGTTCAAGGTGATCTGGGGTTGAACCGAAAGTATGGAGGAACTGGTCTAGGATTGAGCATTTGTGCTCAGTTGTCCCGCATCATGGGTGGTGTTATCCTCCTTGAGAGCGAGGAAGGGAAGGGGTCTCTTTTCACACTCAAGATTCCCCTCGGATTTGTGAGGGAGCTTGTCCCTAGCACACATACCTCGAGCATTCCAGGATCCCGGACTCCTAGTGTTCTGTCTCTGGAAGACTTTTCTAACACCGCGAGAACGCCCTCCAATCATGGATCAGTCCGAAATGAATCTCATGCGCCTGGCTTTGAGAAGTCGGAAATCCAACCACGCTTGGTTGGACTCAGTCAACCGTTTTTTGCCCCGGCCGTGCCTTCATCTCCTGCGCCACAGCTACCAGCAAGCCTACAGTCGACTCAAAGCACCACAGAGAATAGCGATGGATCCAAAAGAATTCGTGTTTTGGTTGCCGAGGACAACACGGTGAATCAGGAAGTCGTGCGCCGGTGCGTCTTGAAACTAATCCGCCCCGACATTGAGATTATGCAATACTGACCGATACCAGCATGCTTGCGTTAGAGGAAGTCTATGATGTTATCATTGTGAAGGATGGCCAGGAGGCATTTGACACCGTCAAGTCTAACATGGAGAAAGGCGAGGTCTTTGACCTGATATTCATGGACATCCAGGTACGAATGACATTCTTGAACTAGTGCACCGTACTAATTGAGTTAGATGCCTATTCTGGATGGACTGGAAAGTACACGATTGATTCGTCAGATGGGATACTCTGCGCCCATTGTGGCATTAAGTGCCTTTGCGGAAGAAAGCAACATCAAAGACTGTATGGATTCGGGCATGGACATGTTCATAAGGTTAGTTGACCAAACAGCTCTTCGTGGGGATGAGGTGAGACTAACCAAAAGCAGTAAACCCATTCGACGACCTGCTTTGAAACAAGTTTTGAGCAAATTTTCTACGATCATGGAGGAGACCGAGACAGGCACATAATGATGACTGTATGTCACATCGGTGGGAGGAAGAAAATGTTATGCAACCACCGAATATTAAAATATCTAAACGATCCTGTCTCTTCGCCTGCCGGAAATTCACTTGAAGCCTGCAATGTCTTTGATTTAGTCGTAAACTTAACAGACCTCCCCTGGTTGACGCTGATCCTTGCGAGAGTCTAGGTCTTCCCCGAGAGAAAACAAGGATCCACTAGTGCAAAGAGATTGTTTCTTATGATTAGAGCCCAGCTTCTATCTCCATGACCGGTTGAATCTTTCTGGCTTGGGCTTATACCAAACCTCTGCCTGGTTCGGCATCCAATAGCCCTGACCCCGAAGTGGGCGGGGGAAATCGCTGGGCATTTCGGTCGGTCAAATTTCACTTCGCATTACCACCAATCGCTGAACAAGGGACCTGGTGTAGATGGTGTCATTTAATCTGCGTCGTTGCAAGTCGCATTGCCAAGGACTATTCGTGCTCATGGCCCCGAAAAGCTGCGGAGATTTAAGAGCTCAGGTGTCCTCAGAAAGTCTTCATCTCGCACAGTCAACCTCGACTTTCTGATCTGTCTCGCAGTGGGACTATGTCAAAATTCGGTATCCATCTCCTGGCGATTGCTGCGCTTGTGCAGTGCGTGATGAGTGGTTTAAACTGTACCTCATCCACTGCGACAGTTCACTGGCTGGGAGAGAAGCCGACATATAATAAGGGCGTGACCTTTGGTCTACCCTGGCCACAGGGAAAGTACTGGCCTAAGCATACCAAGTTTAGCATCGAGGGAGATCCAGGCCATCTCGAAGAGTTGCAGTCATGGGCGACCGGTCATTGGGCTGATGGGTCGCTGAAATGGACCGGCCACGCCATTGGGGAATCAGACCAGATCCGTGATAAATACACTGTTACAGCATTCTCATCGGGGTGTATCGACAAATCAACGACTGCATCGCTCGGCAATGGCATCGATTCCTTAGTCGTCAAGGACGAAAAGGAACTGATCACTGTGAATACGGGCAAGCTTCGCGTCTCCTTTCCTAGAAAGGGAAGCTTTCTGATCGGTTCCCTCAAAACCAAGAATGGGACAACGGTTGGCGAAAATGGACGACTTGTTTTACAGTCCCAGAATTGGGTGCCGGATGAATCCGACGGCCGGGGAAATACCCCAGTGGAATATTTCAACTTCGATAGCAACATAAATGAGGTCACCGTCAACACGACATCTACCAGAGCACTGGTTACTGTCCGGGGACAGCATCAGGTTACCAGTGGCGCCGACCACAAATCATGGCTTCCATTCGTGGTCCGATTTTATCTCTATGCCAACTCCGACTCTGTAAAGGCAATGCACAGCATCGTGTTCGATGGAGAGGCAGAAAATGATTTCATCACCGGAATTGGAATTCGATTTGATGTCCCCTTGAAAGGCGAAGAGCATTATAACAGACATGTCCGATTCGCGGGCGTCGATGGTGGTATATTCAATGAAGCGGTCCAGGGTATCACGGGGCTTCGCCGAGATCCCGGTCAACAGGTCAAGACTGCCCAGTATGAAGGCCGCAGTTTGCCAGAAACGAACACTTGGGATACCCGAGTGACAACTCGTCTGAAGTGGATTCCAACTTGGGGGGATTATAGCCTCGCTCAACTGACAGCGGACGGATTCAATTTCAAGAAGCGGACCAAACCTGGCCAATCATGGGTTCAAATCCCCAGTGGGACACGCTCAGAGGGTCTCGTCTACCTGGGTGGTGCTACAAAGGGAGGCCTGGCCGTGGGACTACGCGACTTCTGGAAACGCTTTCCATCTGGGCTTGATATTTCCAACGCTGCATCGGATTCAGGTCAAATCACCTTGTGGTTATACAGCCCCGCTGCGGAGCCCTTGGATCTTCGACCTTACCACGATGGGCTAAATGAGAGTGACTACGAGGATCAACTGGATGCTCTTGAAATCACCTACGAGGACTGGGAATCCGGTTTCAACACCCCCTATGGAATCGCACGAACAAGTGAGGTGTATCTATTTGCTTTTGAAGAGACACCAACAAGTGAGACCCTCGCCTCACTCGCCGCGTACATTCACGATCCACCCGTGCTGGTGGCTGAACCAAAATATATTCAGGAGACTAGAGCCGTAGGTGGCTACTGGGCATTACCCAATACCCTGACAGATACCACAAAGGTGCTAGAAGATCACCTCAGATTTATCCTTGATTTCTACCGAGGACAGATTGAACAACGTCGTTGGTATGGATTTTTGGACTATGGTGACTTCATGCACACGTACGATACTGACCGACACACCTGGCGATACGACATTGGCGGCTACGCTTGGGACAACTCTGAGCTCTCACCAGACCTTTTCTTCTGGATGTACTTCCTCCGCACAGGCGATAAAGATGCATACAGATTCGCCGAGGCTCTTACACGACACACAGGGGAGGTAGATGTCTATCACATCGGCGACTGGAAGGGCCTCGGGACACGCCACGGCATCCAACACTGGGGCGATAGTGCTAAACAGGCCCGCATTTCACAACCACAATACCGAAAGTACTTGTACTACCTCTCGGGCGGCGATGAACGCATTGGAGAACTGCTTGAAGAGTTGTTAGACACCGATAAGACCTATGGAATTCTTGATCCGCAGAGAAAAGTCCGAATTGATGGTTGGACACCTAGTCCCAACTCTTCAGTTGCCTTCAGTCTTGGAACGGATTGGTCGAGTCTTGCTGCAGGATGGTTGATGGAATGGGAACGGCGCGGTTCCAGATGGGAGGAGGCCAAAACGAAGCTCACCAACACCCTGTCCGGAATTGCGAACTTGACAAACGGGTTTGTGACTGGATCCGGGCTATATGACCCTGTTACCTGGACATTGGGGCCTCCACCTACAGACCCGGAAAACCTCGGCAACGTGTCTGTATCCCATCTATCCGCTGTATTCGGATTGCCGGAAGTTGTGTCGGAAACAATCACCTATCTCGGTGAAGATCTTCCGAAAGGATTCAAAGATGCTTGGATAGACTATTGTTACTATTATCATGCACCAGCGGCTGAGCAGCAGGCTCGTTACGGAGTCAAGTTTGGCAGCTTAAGTCTATACCAGGCACATTCGCGGCTGGCAGCGTATGCTGCGTATCAGACCCAGAACACAACCCTGGCGCTACGCGCATGGAAAGACTTTTATTCTAGTGATGGTTTCACGATCAGCGCGCCGTGGAATATCACACATGTGAATGGAAGTGCTGTTCTGATAGCGGTCGACGAGGCGGAATGGCTGGCAACCAATGATGTTGCGCAGTATGGGTTGGCGGTTATTCAAAACTTGGCGTATATCTCAAGTGCGCTGGAAGAATATGCCTCTTGAATGATGAAGTGCCAACAAAGAAACAATTGGGACCGTAAAACCAGTGTGCGCATTCATGATAACCTGGTGTCACTAGATCACTCTATCTGATGTTCGTTTGTGGTCGAATATTCTAGTCATTTACTCCTGTAGCTTTAAAACCTTGTGTCCTTCTTCTGGGGCCAAGATAGCAATCGGATTTACATAGTAATAATCATACCTTTTCGTGCCACCGATGAATGTCTGAGCGAGCAAAGCCAGACACAAGATGTAGCTCACATAAAATTATCCTGGTTATGTGTGAAAAGAAAATCATTACTATTCGAACTGATACCAGTACACAGCCCCAGCACACGCAATGGTTGTTTAATCACACCCTATCTGATGGAACGACTCGTTAGAGCGAGACTGACACTGCCCACCTATAGGGACCACTCGAGTAAAACGCGCCCAGTGAACTTTAGGCTGATATACAAAAGACTGTTAGCCTTGGCTAGTGATAGAGATAATTGAAAAAGACTTTCATTTTCCAGAGGCTTTTCTTTGAGGAGATTTGGCATCTTGTGAGCAAACACTGGCCTTCCGGTTCCCAAAATAGTCGTTATTAGCACTTTTTCCATTCGAAAAGACCAATGCTACGAGATGAATTCAAATTGCGGGTGATGTACTGTGTTATACCGCACCATAATTCCCTTACATCTGTATATGATCCAGTATTCCAGTGTGCTCTCTTGGGGTGCTTCAACCCAAGACCATCGCGTCAATGTAATTAGTTGAAAATTCGAGGCTTGTGGGCTTAAATACGTGAATGCATCCAACATGATAGGAACTAATGTAGAACCCAATTCCGCTTCTATTACAGCTTTGCTGCAGGCTCCAATAGATGCTTCATCTCAGCGTTAGGGTATTCCACGTTCTGAGAGGAATCGGGTCGTTGTCTATCCCAAGCCCATCTCTCCACTAATTCCGGTGATAGTTCACCCTCCAACATTTGTGTGATATACTTGCCAAGCACAGGGAAGAATTTATAACCGTGGAAGGATCCGCAAGTTGCGATGTAAAGCCCTTTCGACGCAGAGTGAGGGGAGATTATAAAGTCAGAGGTCGTTGTGAACGCGTCCCTGTCGGATGTTAAATTTGGATCGCCATTGCACATAGAAGTACTAACCAGCAGATTCTGTGTTTCGTCATGTCCCAGTTCGCACTCTCTGGTCCATACCACAAATTCCTAGCTTCAACAATGTCCTGTTTGAGTGGTCCAGGTACTTTCCACTGATTATAGTCGTGGGTCGGTGGCGGAGATGATAGGAACCGACTAGGTAAGACCTCTCTTGTGTTTGTAAAGATCTTCGATCCCCACCACTTGAGCTCTCCATCCTTAGTAGGTGGAAGGCTACCGATAAAAGGCTTTCCTGTTCATCATTAGTATGGTTCGGCTTTTGGTTAGAGCAATCATACCCTCCTGAGGTGTGTATCCCTGGAATCCAACAGGCATGTCTTTGTACTTCTTGTACTGCTCTTCGTTCAGCTTTGCCATTCCTGTAGTGATACCGGCAGCCAAGATTCGTTCTCCGGCTCGGAGACCAGGGTTTCCACTTGTCGCGGCGCTCCATTCGAGCAATGTTGGGGTAAAGGCACCAGCAGCAACAACAACATGCGTGGCAGACAAAATCTCGCCTGACTTTGTCTTGAGACCTGTACAAGATCCACGACCATCAAACACCAACGTAGCGACATCCGCGGTCACGTACTTGACGCCCAATTCGAGGCATCTTTTCGTAATTGCTCGAAGAGAATCTCCAGCAGCGGCCCAGCCACTGGCCCTGTTAATCAATACCTCCTTGACGCCTGTGTAGTCAGCGTTGTCAAAAATGCCCCCGTACAGCTTTCGGGCCTCGGCGACAGGCAGTGCAATGATATCGTCGTTGCGGCCGAGATCCTTGTGGTGAGTAATGACAGTTTGCGCATAATCACTCCGGCAAGCCCAATAGACCCCGGTTTGATGAAAGTGTGGTTTCCACAGAGGATCTGACTGGAAGATATCCTGGGCTTCCAGAGCCAATTTGCAGTAGACCTTGTCGTCGTAGTCGGCGCGAACGACCTTGTTCCAATCCCATGATGCAGCTACACGGGACTCGGCATCGTACGCATCTCGGTCAACCAGAGTTACCGATGCATTAGGGTATTTTTGAATGAGATGATAGGCGGTTGATACGCCAAAGACACCAGCACCGATGATGAGGTATGAGGGGTTGCTTGGTGCCATGTTCAGATGACCTCAATGATAGAATGCGAGATGTCACAGAACAGAAAGCTCGCCACGAGAGACAGGGAATTTCTATCTCTAATAGTTGAATCGGCCTTCTCTGCCGTGCAGATTCACTGCCGGGCGGGGGTCCGATTGAGCCGATCACGTGAACAGCCTTAGACCAGCTGCGACAGCATCAAGTCGGTATACCAGCGGTGTTCGGTAGCAGGGCCGATCATTGAAGTTGGGCAATCGGATTCTGGATCTTTGAACTCGAACGAGGGGTCTTGGATATGGTCGACCCTTGAAGTGGCACGGGTCGGCGCTGATAGCCCGAGGGCTATGCATAGAAGTGTCCAGTCCAGTCTCTATTCTCTAAAAAGATAATCATTGCTGGCCATCAATTCATGTCTATAGTGTGTTTAGTCTGTTCCATAGCAACCCAACGGAAAGAGATCGATGTGGATTGAGACCCCAACATCGTCTATGCGTGCCATTAGGGCAAACCAAGTCACGTCACAGGCCCGACACTCCGCCACGACAAAGACACCACTCGACTTGTTGCCAACTGATCTAAAAGAAGCATGATCCTTTGGTACTAACTGGAGAGCTCAGTCAAATCCTAAGCTCTTTGCTACCCACTTACGATCCAATCCCACACTCAACACCCTGAGATCTTAGTCCATCAATGGAGAGAACAAAGGTTACTAGAGATGAATCAGGATATGCGTCGAAGCGAACGAAGAATTCAAACGTCGCATCAGTCCGCAAACGATCCCACGCGTAGACTACTGTCTAGGTCGAGGCAAATCCCGACAGATCCCTGTACCCTGTACCCTGCAGTTTTAGCAGCGGTCTGCCTCATCGTGTCCACGCGAGTAGTCCATTGCGTATCGAGCAACCCTGACCTCACTAGCCTGGTACTAACAATCTCAACTCTCCGATAGGCTTATTCGTCAAGTACAGGACACCGTAGGGTCCGTCTAGCATTCCGTGTTTCAGCATGACTGCGCCAAGCTTCAAGAGGATATTCCGTCTCCCATCCAGCTTAGGTTGCGAACACCCCGCGAATCTGTCCCATCGGCAAAGGAGAAATTAGTGTGGCAGCGATGTCCTGTACCGTGTCTAGTTGAGGTGAATGAATTCCGGAATTGAGTCCCAGAGATCGCTGGTTTCCAAGGACGAGCTCATCGGGCGGGGTTCTTGGCTGGAACAAGCTGAACGGATCTCGAATCATACCCAAAATTCCACCAATCCAACACAAGTACGATTAAGAATGGGTGTTTAGTCCTGGTGGGCCAGCATTTTGGCTGATATTCCCCTGGCCTCCACAACCTGTCAAGGAATCTTTGCTGGGCTCGCCATGCAACTCCCTGCTCCGCTTGAAGATCTCTTTGCTTCATATTTTTGTCTTTAACCCACGTTCTATGAGTGTATTGATTCGTGAAGGCCCGCACCAGAAAGATTCACTTTCGACCAAATTGAATATCTCTGTTCAAGGCTGACGGAATTGCCCTTTCTGCATCCTACATTGCCCCTAAGCATGATTCTCTCATCGTGCCTTTTCCTGGTTCTAGGCAGTGCTTGGTCCCCGACCGCTGCAAGCTCTACTCCGGACTTCCTCTACCGAGATGTTGTGGTAGTCGGTGGAGGTGCCTCCGGTGCTTATGCTGCCGTCCGCTTGCGGGACGACTTTAATAAAAGCATTGCGTTGATTGAAAAGCAGAGCATTCTGGTAAGGTCCCACCTTGGAAACGGAACGAATTCCAGCTCAGATACCACTGGCTTTGATTGCTGATCTGTGCTTGGTGGGCAGGGGGGCATGGTCGACACATTTGTGGATAAGAAGACTGGGGGCACCTATGACTTTGGGGTCCAAAGCTTTCTTAACGTGAGCAATTCAATGGAGTTCTTTAAGAGATTTAACATCTCCGTTGGAAGTGGTTCAACGGGCCCGTCTCTCATAACCAAATACGTGGACTTTAACACAGGGGAGAAGGTGGACTTTGAGCCACCGTCCTTCGAAGCTCAAATCGCCGCCGTCTCGAGATTTCTCAAAGTCATTGAGCCATGGGAGTCACTGCTGCGCCCAGGCTACTGGAACTTTCCGAAGCCTAGCCAAATCCCCGATGATCTTCTCATCCCGTTTGGACAATTCCTGACAAAGTATAACCTCGAAGAGGGTGCGCCAATCATCTACTCCACCACTGGACTTGGGGTTGGCAATATGAGTGAAGTCGCCACCATGTTTGCCCTGCAAAGCTTTGGCTGGGACATGGCGCGCGGGCTAACAGGCGAAATGGGATTGTATGTGCCCACCTCCGGTGGAATCCAGTCTCTCTACAATGCCATTGCGACGGACTTGGGGGACGATGTCTTTTATTCAAGTACGGTGATTGAGACGCGCCGAACCAACTGGGGGGTATTTTTGACGGTGCGCAGTCACAAAACTGGCAAGGTCAGTGTCATTGTCGCCCGTCGGCTCCTCGTGGCCATTGAGCCTACGAAAGAAAATATGGCCGCATTGGATCTCAGCCCGTATGAGCAAGAGACACTGTCAAAATTCACTTACTCAAACGAGTTCACCGGTCTTGTCGACAATCCCGTGTTTAACAAAAGCTATTCGTATTTCAACTTGCCATCCACTGCGGCTCCAGATCATTATCTTGTTTTCCAAGAAGAACCAGCAACGGTGAGTTTCGCTTACTCTGGTCTGGGGCACTTATTCCGAGTGATGATTATTGGCAACAATACTTCCACCGATGTTGAGGCCAAACACTTGGCGCAGACGAGCTTTAATACCCTGTTGAACTCTGGTCATTTGTCAGGCTCCATTCAAAACCAAAGACTCAACTGGGCAGCATTTTCTACACATGGCCCCATGCATGCCCGTGTATCAGTTGCGGAAGTCAAGGCGGGGTTTTATCAGGATCTTTATAAACTACAGGGTTCTCGGTGCACATGGTGGACAGGAGGTGCCTTTGCAGTGAACTTCCAGACGAAGCTGTGGGAGTTCGATGAAGTCCTCATTCCGAAACTTCTCGAAGGTCTTTGAAGCCAGGAATCTTTTATACGGGGTTACCCAGGTGGCACATGTTTTGCATACTACTATACTCAACTTCCAGGAAGGAGGTAGAAGGCGATCCACATTGATGGAAACTCGGCAGAAAAGGTCGACTATTCGATTACTCGCTCATGTAAAAAAATTTAAAAAAAACATTAATTATGGAAAAGTAATTGTGTAGATATAGGTATGGCATGAAACACGACAAAGGGTCGCGAGGGATATGATCAAGATCATAATTCACCATGAGTCGCAGCCAAATCATGAATGAAGCGTGATGGAGCTGATCCGTTACAATGATCCAACGGGCAATATCACTCTCGACGCTCCCTTTCCTCCTTGGAAGATTGTATAAGCCACGGTATGTAGATCTTCCCCAATGTTCATTGCGAATTGCGGATGCGACGCTCCAGTAATAATGAGTTTTACCCGTTTGCCCTTCAAAAACCGGTGTGCACAGTCGTTCAAAAGGAGAATGATAGGATCATCTTCTCCAGTTGAATGCAGGCGCTTGTATGTTTCCGCAATGCAATGGGACCGTTCTTTATCATCGACTTCGCTGATGCGTACGAACAGATCCACCTTTGGGGCATCGCTGGTGTAGCTCAGCACAACAGCGATCTTTCCAGAAATTTCCAAATCCTGTTCGAGGGCTTCGGTCGTGAACACCAAGGCATCGGAGCGGGATCCAAGTACCGTGTCATCCACACTCCCGCCTCCTAGAAGTAGGTTGCCACCAATTGTAGGGGTTGGTTGCTTTGGGTCGAAAGTAAACATGGATGAAGTCCTAGCTGATGGCTTTTTCGCATCAAGACGCCTCCCAGATTGCAGATATAACTCTTGTGCGATTGTCGGCGGTGGCCACTTGGGCACTTCTCGCCATTCCTGGGCCCCAGTGACGAAAAACTGCACCGCCATGTTTCTGGATAGCGTTCGTTGCGTTCGTTTTGCAAGGTGCTCTTCCAGCCAGGAGAACGACTGCTGATAGACTCTCGAAGCCTGTCCAACCTGCATATGATTCCACGGGCCCATCAAAAGCGCAACTTTGGTATTGCGCTCAGCAAGACGCATGTATTGCTGTATCGTCTGTGTTGCAAAGACGTCGTACCATCCGCCAACCAGCAGTATAGGGATATCTGCACGTTCTAGCGCTTCTCCAAATTTCATTTGTTCGTGATATGGATTGGAAGCATCTGCGTCGACAACCGACTCCAGCCAGGGCGCACGACCGTGGAAATGATCTTTCACGCTGGTTGCTAACGGTATCCGATCCAGTATAGTTCGCATCCGGTTTGGCGTGTTCAGCTTCTTGAGTGTCGGGAAAAGTCCGCTCTCTTCCTGATGGAGGATATTTTCGCCCCAAGTGATCCATTCCAGTGCCAGTGAGCCTGTTCCCCATAACTGCTGGCTAAAGTCATGAGGCGCGCATTGTATCACCGCAGCGACCATGTCCGATGGGGGATCTCGCAACAGCGCCCATTGCACGTAGCCCAAATAGGAGCTCCCCAGCGTCGCAAACGACCCCGTATACCAGTCTTGTTTTCTCATCCACTCCACCACCGCCTGTCCATCCTCTTCTTCGTTGCACCATGGGTCAAATCTACCTCCCGAGCCAAATGTGCCACGGCAGCTCACAAACAGGCATTGATAACCACGCGAGGCGTATGGACGGGCGCTGAGCACCGTGAAGACCGTTCCTCGACCGTATGGACATCGAATGAGAATCGTACTTGCGAGTGTTTGGCCTTTGGCAAGCACAGGCTGGTACAAGCTCGCCGCGAGTTCAATCGGCTCGGATCCATTCGATACCGGAATGCGCACGCTGGTCAGCGTATAAGAGCATAGTTCTGGTGGGAATCCCAGCCACCGTGCTACTAAGCGGTCCAGAATGGTAGTGCTCAATCCCCGTTGGAGGGTCATTGTGCTGCGGCGAGAATACTTTGTACAAAACGAAAGAGCTGCCTTACGCGAAGTTCTCACAAAGTCATCACAAAAGCCGGATCGGATACCGATCGCCCGTCATAACATTAGCGCGCTTGCACATTTCCATTAATGCCAGGAACGGTGGCCTATCGGAGGCATCGCTTCCGAGATTTCTCGGGTTCGGTTTCGCATGTCTGAGCTGTTGTTATCTTAGTAGTGGGTTGGGTGGATTCTCCTAATTTTACTCTACTCCTGACTGCACCAATCAAATTGCGATGGCAGTTCATAATATACAGTACAGGCATCGTGAACCTAAATCCGAATCATCGGGTGATGAAAGAGTCTCTGGCTTCATTGCCGGAAGAGTGACAGTCGAAATAGCAAACGGGGGTCTATGACAGTATAGCAAACCCAATGGTCTGAAGTTGGGCCTTTCACTGGCCAATAGTGTAATACCAAACAATATTCGCAGCATAATTATCTCACACAATCTGATCCGTCGAGTGACGCTGCTTTGTCCCAATCCATGTCAACCATGCTTAAACCTCCACCATTTCTTTAGTGGCCTTCTTCGCAAGCCCGCCAAATGTATCTGCATATCGTCCCTCCATCCATTCGGACACCGTGAGAGGAGCGTGTTTGGCCACCCCACCTGATTCAATACAACTAGGAAGACACTTGACTATGAAGTCCGGGTTGCCGTCGAAGAAGAACGCCACACTGTATCTCGCCTTCCCAGTCTTGTTAACAACACGATGTAGATTAGAGATATAGCGATCGTTGGTCCAACACATCATGAGATTGCCAGTATTGACGACCACAGCATCTGAGATCGGTTGGATATCAATCCATTCCCCTGTTGCGCGATCACGAACTTGTAACCCCCCCGTGGAATCTTGAAGGAGGATTGTGACGGCACCAAAGTCGGTATGAGCACCGATTCCTGAATCACTAGTCAGTAAATTCCCAACAGCATAGTCTCGTTTGATACTAGGAGAAGGTATGGTTATACCTCGTTCTAACTTCGAAGCGTCAGAATCTTGTGGAGGGTAATGAAGCAGACGCAGAACGGCGATCGGATGCTCGCAAAATTCATCCAAAAACTCATGTCCTCCTCCAAGAGTGTCAAAGAGAACGCTCAGTACGTTTTTCGCAAGCTGGGACGCTGCAAAATGGTACTCATCGACTGTCTTCTTCCATAGATGAGGGTCCTTGACCTCAGAGGGATATTTATTCGGCCCCTGAGCCCATTTTCTCGCTTGGACATAGGGATCGTCAAGAGGAAGGTCTTTTGCCAGAAAATAACCTTCCTTCAGGTCTCCCTCGGTGAGCTTTTCAAAGTTCTGGGATCGCAATCGTTCGTAGCCGCGGTTGAAATCGCCAACATCTTCCTACCGGTCAATTTTACCATCGTGTGGCCGTCAAATCCCGGTTGGGTCGGACACATACCTTTGTTGTATTTGTCCTTGATTTCGCCCGGTAGACGGAAGAAAGTCTCGGATTGGCGTAGTATTTCCTTGTCAAGGTCCACAGGAATGCCGTGGTTACGCAGTTGGAAGAATCCAAAGTCTAGACACGCACGGCTAATCTCGCCTTCGAGCTTTAATTTCGCTACCTGGTCCTGCCCGTAGAAAGCTGATCAGTTCGTCAGCGGGCTGCACGTACAGTTACTCGGGAAACTTACGAGCAAAGTCGATAATTGGGGGTCCTCGGCCCATGGCAGAAAGTTGTCTGTCTTGGTATTTCCAGCAAGAGTCCAGAAAGATTTGATTGCTGATCTGGATCGATCCCCGCTCCTCTAAATATATGTCCCAGAGTATCGCCAAGAAGTTCGGCCGGCTTTATCGTGCTCGATTAGGGTTATCTGGGTTGATTGGACTCCAGGGCTTCTGGTGCTCGGCCGGGGTAGCTGATGATCGCGCTAGCGCCCGTGATATTAGCTTGGCCCCAGATCACAGCTCGATGTCATACTCTACGCGGCCGCATTGACGTTATCTCCGTAGGATGATACTGATAAAGGGGCTACAGAAGCCTAGCCAATCCTACTAAAATCAGATGAAGCAACCGAAATTACCGTTACTCGTTCCAACTGAACCCATCAATCCACCGGAGGAAGTGTGTCCCATCATTTAACAAATCTTCATCGAGCCAATCTGAAGGAATCAGATCATTTGAAGTTAAAGGAATCGACGTACCAGCATCGACTGGCGCGGCGAGCACGTAGTCTAAAATTTGCAATATGACCTTGCGTCCTTGTTGACAGATCTCGTAATTACCCTTCTGCGGCAGTGTGATATACTGGATATGCGAGGCGAGAGTTCCGAGACTCTGTATTACGTCTGAACGAGTAAAGAGCCTCTCGCCCGGCCACGGGCGGGCATTCTGGGTCTGGCGCAGGACCTCGATGGCGAGAATCCCGGCCGAGGGGAGACCGAAATAGGGGATCTATCACGTCAGCTTCACCTTGTAAATTAGGGCTCATACTAAGGGGCGCAAGAAGATAGGCGAGAATACCGTCCATCCAAGTTCGCTAAAAGAATTCCCACATCGATGACCTACGGCAATCAGAGCAAGCATTGCCTGGATAATCTGGTGCGCGAGGCTGACGAGAGTCTCGGACTCGGTCAATGATCGCTTGACCAGGATCCGCTGCAAAAGGAAACTATTGTACAGCAAGTCAAGATGAATATAGACGGGAATGGTACTCCTCAGACGTAGTGTACTTTCAGTGCTTCCATCCCAATGTAGGTAGGATGGTAAATCATTGCGCACCTGCTGCGACAATGTGGATATGTTACTGGAGTAGAAGGAGAGAGATTAGCAAGCCATGGAGTGTACAGTGTTTGCAGAGGTCATACTCAGCTCTTTGTCGGACGTCAACATCTTCGCGATCAAGGGAAATTTCTAGCACAAGCTCGCGGACGTGACCCAGCAGCAAGGCCACCCGGCTCCAAGTGACCCCTTTGATTGGTTCTATAGTATTCCAACCTTTGGTGTTCAATTTTCCGATCGCAGCCTCCCGCATGAGTGGGTTGGCACATACCTCGGCCGGTGTGAGGTCCAGGGGAAGTTGAATGCGACAGAATCGATACGCTATTAAAGGCGGACACCCAAGAAATGTAGCTAGATCTTTGTCACAGGAATAGGCGAGCACCATCAGTCGCTTACGCCCTTCGATGAGGAAGAACGGCAAATGCTCGCCCACGTCGAGCTGATGATAGCCCATGGCGAAAAGGAGCGTCGAGAGCTCCCCAAGACGTTTCCCCAAGACGTTTCCGTGGTCGATAGTCTATAAATTAGCTGTCATTTGTCCTCTGGGTCTGAGAAAACCTACCGTGATCACCGCATACCAAGGTCAGCAGATGGATGTGTCGCAATAATAGCCAGCCCAGGGGGTCGCTCATCACACCCATACTCTCGCAGAATTGCAGTCATAAATTACTGCCAGCAGTGGCCAGAATTCCGAGATTTTTGTGATCGGTAGCAGAGAAGCCAAAGCCGCGGAACGGCGGGTCGTCGACTGTTGTGTGCGCGGCGCAAATACCCAAAAGGGTGAGAAGAAATCCAATAGCTTCCCAGCGGCCTGTAAGAGCAACGAGATACTCGTCGAGTGTCATATCCACGTTCGCGACGAGCTCGCTGGCTGTTCCTTCGAATAATCGCCGCGAAAGCCTCCGCAGTCGCGAGGGTTGGTCCAAGTCTTTTGGGATGCTACTGTAAATTCCTTCCACGACGTCGCAGATCGTACCCATGGTCGGCAAATCCATCAGGCCTTTGCTACTTCGTTCTTCGCAGGCGATCGCAGTCCGGCGATACAATGCAAGTCCTCAAAAATGAGGGACAGCAATTCTGTGCCGAGCTGGATTTGACGAGGGTCGACTGCAACGATGGAGTTCTGTACGCTGGGCAGATTAAGTTGCGGCAGCCGTGGCGGCGTGGTTGACTCGTTTCCCTTCAGACTGGCCTCATTCTCACTGTAAACGGCTGAAAAGCTCGTCGCCCCTAAAAATCTCGGAGTAGAGCTCAAGGCTAGTCGCTGACTCCAGACCTCAATATAGCGGTCTCGTAAGGCGTGCGGCGAGCTTGCCGTTGGTGATTCCAACTGTGCTAGCGGCACTGATACCTGTGTCAAGGGCATAGGTTCACATATTGGAGACGTCCCTGTGTTGGTACCTTCGGTTGCCGACGGTGCAGTTGTTATTACATTTGGCCTATACACGCAAGTGGCCGCTTTACGTGTGCGCCGACACCGTCCACAAACGGGCACCTGGTGGTCACAGCGGAGCTTGGATCGGCGACACGGCTCGCATGACGACAAAAACCCATTACGCCGGCGCATTGGGATCTTTCAACCCTAGTACTGGAGCGTGAAAAAAATCGAAAATACTTTCCTGAAAGTCCACTGAGACCAGGAGATGTGTGAGGGAAAACGTTGAGTTTGTTTGATGGCCAGGGGGTGGATGAATAAGCCGATCTTCTAGCCCTGAAGGTCCACACGAGCATCTATAGCATCTTCACCTCCATAATTCTCCCTCACCTAAATGCAGCTTACAGACAAGAATATGTACGAGTCCTAACAGGATAATTGACTATAGCAGCCAAAACCCTGCGTTTCTTTAAGAGTCGTGGACCCTGAATGACCGTTAGTGGTAACAAGATCAGAGAACCTAGGCTCTCATGGGTTTCATATTAGGCCTATTGGATGTCCTAGCTAAGGGACTGCGAGGGCAATATATACGTATATCTCAACAAGGCCACTTGAACAATCTTTGGTAGTTTGGAAAGTAGAGATCTCAAAGTGCTATGACGATAACAATGTCTAACACTCTTACTACTCGGGTATCAATATTAGACAAAACAAGATCAACAAAAGAACAAGAACATGAAGAAACACATAAAGAGAACTTGAAACAAGAAAAAAGAGACGTAACTGAAGTTACAAACATAAGTACAATATGACACAAGAACTTGAACACAAGTTTGAACAGAAAAACAATACATGCAAACGCCATACATAAGAATTCCATGAAGACTCCAAAACAAGTTAACATACAAAAAAAAAAAAGACAATAGAAAATATGGTACATCAAAGAATTCCAAAGAAGAACAAAGAACTACAGAAAAACATGGAAGAATTACGAACACAGAAAATTGCATGACAATCGCTTTCAGGAAAACTGCATCCAGAAATCCAAAAAAACCTCAAAATACAACAATAAGAATATAACCCTAGGATTCCTACGGATGCAGCAATATAAGCCAGATATAGCAAATAAGCCGAATGCATCAAAAAGGAAGAACAGAGAGATTTAACTTAAATTGAGCAGGATTACTTAGAAAAAGATAATCATCAATTCAATCATCTATTTCTCTGATTCACCTACCTTCGGTCTTAATCTCTCGCAGATTCTTAATCTAACTTTGTTTTTATCATTTCTTTAAATGATCCCTACCCTAACAACCTAAAAGTAGGTATAATAAGAGGTGAGGTTTACTTCGTCTATCTTATTATATATATCCTAATTAGAATTATCGATAAACCTCTAATTATTTACCGTTAATAGCGAAAAGTCCCCGATAAGCTATTTAAGGGTAGTATTCCTATGATTCCACTGTACTAAGTAGTAAGGATTCACGTAGCCTATTTTTTTAGGTGTTTTTTGTATACTTAAGAATAGTAAAAGTGAGAATACTACGTAGAGTATTTATTGACGTACTAGTATAGTACTAGTTCTACTCCTATTGCTATAGCTACGAGACACATTATATGACGGAACAGATTATATCAGCAAAAGCTATTGAGGACCCTTAATAGCACGGCTAAAAACGTGACCACACGTGACCCAAGCGCCCCCCTGGGAGTTATTGAGGACCCTCATTTGGTGCGTTCACCACCCCACGCGCCTTTTTCTCTGTCTCCCCAATCCCGCCTTGGCTGTTTGTCTTCATATCTGCAGACACCAGGAATTCTGTGTTTTGCCTCTGTCTTCCGGCTCATTAATACCCCATCGGCTCTTTCAAGGCTGGACTCGGGCCGTTCTCTAAACGGTAGCACCGATGATATAAAGGAGACCATCCCAAAGTATTTTCGACTGCTACTGACGGAAGAATCATTGATAATTCTGAGCTTCCAAGGTTGAACCTCTGAGATAAATTGCAGATAGTATGTCGTAGTGTGAACTGCGGATATAATATGTCCCGTGCGGGTTGTGTACAGATTCATGGAAATTACCCTCCTGTGTATTTTTCGGAAACCTTGGCGTTTCCGCAAAAACGCCCGTGGACCCTGTGAGACCTGCGTTTGTCGCGTATTCCAAGGTTGTACTAGGGCCAATAGCTTGAAAACCATGCATGGGTATAAAGACTGGTCGCATCCGCATATATTCCACGCTTTGGTTTCATAGGATCAACCTCGGAAATCCAGCCGTGGACGTGTACAACAACCTTGGAGACGTTGGCAAAGCTATCCCTTTCTGCCCACCATGGCCAAAACACTAGAAGAGTTTGCTCAATTAGAGCCTCTCTGGGACAAAGCAATCCAGCGTCCAGCGGATATTTCACCTGATGAAAAACACCAGCTGATGCAATGGCCGCCTTTAGAAGAGATGCAGACCAACTCGACCAAATACTTGGGTATGTCACTTGAAAACTTGCTTCAAAAGGCAGCTACGGACCGTCAGTCCCTCACATACGCGGAATGTCGTCTGATTCGCGATAATTTCCGCATTACGCCAACTCTTGACAAAGGTGATCGATTCGCGTGGCCGCAGATGCGTCCTGATCTTTACGATAAGCTGAAACAGGCACAAGAAGCAGCTCTTCCACCAATAGAGCTTCAGGCCGTTCAAGCTGTGAATGAGGTATTTTCTCAGAAACAGTATGATGACTTGGAGGCAAGACATGAAAAGCGAAAACAAGAACCATTCCCAGATCTGCAAGACTGGGTGCGAAGGATTGTCGTTCGAGAAGATGATAAGAGCTGGGGCTATGTCTTTTATCATCAGAAAGGAATGGCCAGACTGGACGAGTTTAGGGCGCTATTTACCGAGGTCCTTGAGATGTCTTTCTTTTTCAAGGGATATGAAGAGATACACGATCACAAATTCGCTCAATTTGTCCCATTCGAGGCCGACGAGAGTGACATCGGCCATTTACAGCAGTGAGTTTTCCTACATAATATTAAAGACATTGCTAACAATCAGCCAGAGACTTTCGTGATCGCCGCGAGAGGGGTGACTTAAAGCCTGGTGTTCTCAAAAATGTGTTCTTCTTGTTGACAGACGAGGCTCATTCAGCTTGTGGCACATATGGTCCAGATATGTACTATGGATGGATATGGGCAATTGATCCGGACTGGCCTCTGTCGGGGCCAGATGAGGATGGCTATGATGGTCGCCTTAAAATCAGCATCACCCAGATCTTTTACCGTTTCTACGAATTCATGTCTGATGGTTTCTCACTCAAAGAAATTTGGCAGGATTTCCATTACGTCAATGCTAACAAATTGTACCCAAGCTCTTGGCGGGAGCCAACTTCCTGGGCCATTACCCGACTTGAGAAATCCAAATGGCCATACAATTGATTTGATGCATGTGTGTCCTTGATGATTGTTATGTACATAGTACTAGATAGTGAGTATCATATAAACATTGAAAATGTGTGATCATCCGTACAAAATGTATTCTTCCTTCTGCCCATCTTTTCTATTCATATCATTGGAAAATACTGCACATCCCTCCTTTTTGTCAGCTAAAAGCCAACTTGAAGCAAATAGCTACCTGGTGCCTGCATATAAACGAAGATTGATTCGTCAAAAATCACTCTGAGTCGAACCAACTCTCTGAGCTCCATCAGATCACCCTAACTCTATTCCAGAGCCGTTACCTGGTCAGGTAACGCCCTTCTGTGCCTGTGGTTATGTAAAGGGTATACGTTATTATAGGTGTATAGCCTATCAATTAGGCAAGGGAGGAATAGTCCTAAGGGAAGGAAACGCTATAGTCTCGTATTGTGTTTTAAGACTGATTCTTAACGGAATCAGTGGGGTCCCAATGGGGGCCCTGACTATACCCATGGATCCTTCGCGGGGGTCAGATGATAATGCCCCGCTTTGCCGAGTGTCATGTGACCCAGGCTTCCTTTAAGCCCTCCAGTAAAAGAAGATATTTATATACAAGCAAACGGAAACGTCCACTCTTAGACCATTATCCGTTACAGCCTATCACGTAGTTGGCTATGCTAGTTAAGCTTATAGTCGGCCTATGACACGTGAGGCTAAGAGTATTGATTTGCGTTCTGGTCCCTACGCCGCTGCGAGGATGCGGGTCTCTAGCCGTTTAAGCTTGTACGAACCACGTCTATATGCAATCTATGTTTGATTTTGATATATAGAAAGGTCTTATCCTACCTAAAAGGCACACAAGCGTATGCTCTGATTCCGTTCTAAAGCGCCCTCGAGCCGGGGAGCGGGGTCCCCTAGGGTCGGCGAGGCAATTTCCAATTGCCGGGGGTGCCCCCCAAGGCGACGGGCAAGATGCGCTGACCCATGGGAAGGTCTTTCACACAGACCGTTCAGATTTCCTTTACACTGCTAGATAACAGTGGACTGAATTTTCACTGAGAGGCCGTATTGAACCAATGGAGTGCACTGAGCATGATTAACACACCGACGGCCTATTTCCGAGCCTTAGACGCTTCTTATCTTTGCTTTTGTTACTAATAAATCTCGTTAAAAGGCCTACTGAACAAACATTATAGGATATACCTTATCAAAGAATCGGCGGCCCTAACACTATAGCATAAACGAGACTCGAGGCCCTGTACGCTGCACGTCATACTGCATACTTTGCTCTTAGCAGCATATCTAGTCTAGAGTGATCGATAGAATAAGATATCGTAGGCAATAGAGTGGTCGGATAGCTTCTTAGGATAGGATTGGAACTATGTCTAACATTATTAGCTTCTTCGATAAGTTAGGTCTACCGCTATTTCACACCTATTTCTTCACTATCAAGGCGTAGAGGGCTGGCATAAAGGAACTAAGTATCCCGTAGTGGTTACTACGAAGGAGAGCCTAGAAGTGAGTTAAAGTATCTAGCATCAACGATAGCTCGACGTACTAAGGGAGGAAGGCGATAGTATTTTTCGTGTATAATAATCTAAGCTTATACGCACTATGATCAAATGATATAGTGAACGACGAGATATTAACGAACATAAAGTGGTATATCATAGGTAGCGAACATATACTCCATAGAAAAGGACGAGATAGGATAAGACGAGAATCTCAATAATAAAAGGATAAGATTCATCAATAAGGGAGCGATTTAAAATATATAGCAATCAAAGGGCTAGCAGAGAAGTCTTACCCGTCGCCTTAGGGGGCACCCCCGGCAATTGGAAATTGCCTCGCCGACCCCTATAAAGGGGGTCTCTAGGGGACCCCGCCTCCCGGCTCGAGGGCGCGTTAAAGCTAAACCAGAATATTCGCTATAACGCCTCTCACAAAGAACGGGGTCTGTCCCCGTGGCCTTAAGAATTTTATAGCCGCTACGTAGAGTAAATTGTGAGCTTTCCGAACGGGATAGGCAGTTATTTACTCTACCTATCGAACTTGAGGGTCAGAAATTCCGAGAGACAGACTGCTATGGACTCCTTCAGGTCTAGGTCAGATAGGTATACTAAGTGATTGATCTGATGAATCAATCGACTTAAAGGTCGAGGTGGGGACTCGTGGGTGCTAATAATGGTCTTGTAGGCCATATAATGGTAACGGCAAGGCCGAAAAGAAAAGCGATTCCCTCTCTTCATATTCCAGTATGGGAATCCGAGGGTTGCCTATAATAGGATCAGAGTCAGCCAGAGTTGATTCAGTTGGACAAGGCAATGTACTTTAGTTGTGGATGAAGACGTCCCTGGTGATTGAAGACATGCTTTAGACAGTCGGTCAGTCAGGATCGTCGTCATACCAGCCTACTATAAACCAGCTGCTTTTTGTGGCTTGTACATGTGTATTGCTAGGATATATCTGGACACAAGCTCTAGCGATTCCCTAGTTATTGCTGGTTTTTGATCGGCATCAAATCTATATGTGTAGTACAGCTTTGACAATGCCATCCTCTCAGCTTAGAACTGCAATGGGGTATAGCGTCCATAGGACTTGACCCTCCCTGCTGCAGGTTCCCGGGAGAAATTTCATTGTGGTACACTGTTCAGTCTAGCCGCCACTCCTCACTTGGATTGACTAGAATGGTCGTTCTGACTGATTTTCAGTGACTCGAAAACGTCAGCTTCCTCGAAGTTTTGAGCATCCCGGTATCCCAGCCACACATCTAGCTTTATACCAGCGGCTTCAGCCTCGCGCGCAAGTGAAGACGGCAGCGTCCAGGGTCCTGCGGGCAGATACTCTTCTCTTTCAGAATCATAGATATTCTCAAACGAGTAGATGGCCACTGTCCGTAAATGTGGAAGATGCGCCCTCTTATTCCTGATTAAATCAAGAAGAAAAGTATCGTACGGCTCATCGTCGCTCTCCCACAAAAATTGAGTAAGGTCTGTATCATCGTAAAAGACCTCTAACACCTTCAGACTGGGAGGTAAGCCTTTCCAGACCCGAGGAGGATTATCCCACCCACAGAGAAAGACATGGTAAGTACGTAGAGTTTCAAGGGCTGTGAAATCGCTTAGATCAATGCGAGGTCCATTGCCCAATCCTTCATGATCAAGCCACGGCCTTGTCATCGTCAGTTCTTCCAGCGTCCTCCTTTGTGATCGCAGTGCGCGTATAAAAGCAGCACATGTCCAGCTTGTGGCTGGCTCATCTCCATAATGGCCCTCCCACTCGCCTTGCTCGGCATCGTAGTGAAGTACTTTCAAAGCTGCTGGCAAGCTTAATACATTGGCTAGAGCTTGCTCATGCGCCCCGCAGTCAATCAGCCTCAGACATTCCACGGGCGAGGTGCCAAAATGTGAGTTGTTCTCAAATTGCATGGGTTCCCAATCCTTAAACTCGTGAATAGTAAGGGTCTGTATGTTGGGCAGCCAAAAGACATGAATGATATCACGAATAGACTGGCCACGCCAGGGGCTGCCACATGGAATGATTACTGAAACGATGTGTTCCTGGAGACTCGGGTTCTTCTCCAGAGTCCACTTCAGTTGCTCTAGCGGGATCTTCTCGCCGACGCGACCGTATTCACGGACAAAGATATCACGATAAAATATTGGCGTTAGAAGACTGTTCAAGCGGCGGGAGGCGAATAAAAGAGAGTGCAGGTATTTAACTCTCCGCGACGGATCATGCTTGATCGCATAGCGGTAGGCGTCTCCAAGCTCGTAGAATGACAACTTGATTTGCTTAGTGTCTGTTTGTAGGTAGTCAATGATCTCTAGAATCAACTCATCCGGAAGATCCAAGAGGCGTGCCATGTTTCTCGCTCTTTAGGCAATGATTCTGGATCAACTCCACCACTCTGGTTGTAAAGGGTATACGTTATTACAGGTGTACGGCCTGTCAATTAGGCAAGGGAGGAATGGTTCAAGGGGAGGAGGCGCTGTAGTCTCGTATTGTGCTTAAGACTGATTCTTGACGGAATCAGTGGGGTCCCGAGGGGGGGCCCTGACTATACCTATAGATCCTTCGCGGGGGTCAGATGACAATGCCCCGCTTTGCCGAGTGTCATGTGACCTAGGCTTTCTTTGTTGAAAAGGCTACGATGCAAGTAGGGATGATGACCGGTACGACCGTACAATATAGATAATCTAACAATAGATTACCGAGGTGTTTAAGTCTGGAGATTCTCATTTGTGTGAGAATCTCCTTATATACCAGAAAACTCTGCCTTCAGCTAGTCCTAATTAGATTTCCCAGGTGATGAATCACTACGGTTGCCGTCATGGCTCATTCATGGCATAAACCATGGCCGGCCACCATAAATCTCAACATGGTTAGCTATATTCTATACCTACAGTCGTGACCTTGTAATAACCTGACCTAAAGTGAATTGGGACTTACATTAGACACCATGATGTAGAGCTCAGCTTGGGGAATGTAAAAATAAGCCCATTTATTCTTTAACCTCTCTGATTGTCGAGTTATTCATCCTTAAAGTTGGTCAATTTGGTTGATTCTGCCGTCGCGAACCCACCAGCCGTTTAGGGCAAGATAGGATGCGGGGAAGGACCGCCTTCCTAAATAGGGCATTTTCGTGACCCACGCTAATCCTAGATAGGTTAATTTCGTGACCTAAGCTAAACCTAATTGGTTAGTTTTTTAGGGGTTTAGACCCCTAACGCCCGTCTAGCTTGCCTGGGTAAATGTCTCCGGTTAGCCCTCTGAAAACACTGATTGTCAATCTGAGAGTATCGCGGATGTGATCAGTCTTAGAATCCTTTGTATAGAGAGACATTTGATAATTATGAAGAGACTCACGCGACACCGCGGGTATTGCTATTCACAGTTATATATTTTATAACACCCTCAAGCTTCTCAATCAAACAAAATTACTAAAAGCTTCTGTCCTGATAGCAAAAGACACCCTAAACAAGCATTATATATTTATAACCTAAATCTCTCCTAATATATTTGCAATCCGCTATAGCGTCGACGGGCTTATTGAGATTTGCCCAAACTCCTTTAGTATTAGAATATCTTATCTAGAAGTCGGGATCATGAGCATAGACTCCACTTTCTCATCCTATTACGAGCATCTCACCTTAATATCTAGGCCTTAATCGTCCGGAGTTTATCTTTGAGATCGACCTAGGTCCGGTCCTTTAATTGAGGCTCCGCCATTTGGTCATCTATCGCCTTAATCCGGGCCTAGGAGTTTCCGTATTTAAACCATAATCTTAATAATCGCTTTACCTCCCTTTCCCGCCATTTTAGATAATGGCGGAAGGGTCGACCTACGACCCGCTCTTAAGCCTAGCGTCTCGGAGGCAGGTTCCTTCGCATATCCTTCAAGACCTCCGATTCCCTTTCTTGCCTCTCCGCCTAGTAGGAAGGGTCGGGTTTCCGTAACGTCCCTATAACTATTCTACGTTGAACTACAGTGTAATTCTGAACCCCTCCATAGTTAAGAGAGCGGGAGCTAGGCTGAAAACCGACTAGCGTACACTGTTATTCAGGAAAACGGACACTGTTATTCAGAACTCTCCTCCTATCACTCACATACTATTTTTACTTTCTGAAGGCTGCATGGAAATCACAACAATCTTAATTCTAACTCTGCAAGTTTTGCAATCGCCGTATTCAAATTTGAGTGGTTTTATTTAAGACTGCTATTTCCGACTGTAGAATGTCTAGCCTTCCGACTATACTTACAACCACCTAACTCAAATATATTTCTCACCACAATCCAAGTAGAATACTAAGGAATTATATTAGTACCAAGTTAATACAGATTCAGGTCCTATCCTTTCTGAGTATATGATACCCTGTATTAAGCAGTTGTATACTATCACTACAGTGCCTTAATGTCTTACAATATCGGATTGCTCACATTTCTAACCAGTGTTATCACATTAATCCATAAACAGACTAGCGTACGGTGACATTCAGGGGAACCCATAATCATACTGATATCCACCATTCTACTTCTAATTAAATTTATATATCCATACCATCTACTATTTTTACTAGATTCTATAATGTCACAATCTAATCACGATCATATAAATTCTGCCACGGAGCCTGAAATTAAGACTGATAACCCCTTGCCGTCGTATCTGCAAGTGCTACCGGAACTTAGGGTAGTCCTATGCATAACCCATGGTTCCTGCTACATTCGAACCAGTCTCTCTCGCCATCTTCGTGACAAACATCATGTTAAGAGTCAACAGCGGCAAACCATCGAGTCCGCACGAGAATTAGCTTGCGTGGCACAATACAGCACTGGAGTCATCCAGCCTCAAGATGGGATTTGTGAGATTCGCGGGTTGCCGACCGTGCTCGGGTTCATCTGCCACTTCCCCGATTGCGACGTTCGCTCTACCAGCAAGGACCGGATCCGCCAACATTATAATAAGCATCATCAGTGGCAGGTCGCGCAGCAGGGGGCGATTCCATGGCATGAGGCCTTTATGCAGACGCTCTTTCTCCAGAAACAAAGCCAACAGTACTTTGCTGTGGTTCTTGCCGACCAGATTCCGACCTCCAACCCTCAATATATATATCGGCATGCCAACGCTCCTACTTATGTACCACCATCTGGTTCCGAGACACCCCCTTCGTCAGCTCTCACCGGCGATACATGGAAACAGATCATGGGCCGATACCAGAAGAGTCTCTCTCAATCATCGCGGAAGTCCATCGCCGCAGCGCGCTATATATCCGAGGTCACTCCCTTTATAAAGCGGGCCGGTATCTATATCTACCTTAAAGGGCTCGAGGTCAAAGATCTTAGTCCTAGCTATCGAATACCACGATAGGACTAGGAGGCTTTACTTTTTATTATTTGCGAAAGCGTCTAACGTATTCTCGAGGGAGCAATAGCGGTCTTAGTATATGACTAAGATATAGAGGTACGCTAGCTTAGTCGCTGTAACGCACGGCTTCTCAACACTTTTGCCTAGGGAGAAATATCCTAGGACCCCCTCTCCGATCTCTAGAATAAACGTACTGTTACGCACTTGCTTCTAGGTCGTCGCTATGTTAGAAGATTCCCTAGGTTATACTTGCCTTGTCTTGCTGACTTCCAATCTCAACGATCTGTCTCTCAACCGTACCGTTGCCTAACAGGCCTTATACGGGCTAAGTCCTTTTGAGGGTATCGAGGAGCGATGCTAAGTAGGGCGCCGAGTTAGTCTATACCGAGATATAGGCCTTCCCGTGGTGTTGTCAAGTTATAATCAAGTTATACGAGTCACAAAGGTTTCTGAATAGTAGACACAAGTAACAATGTTGGATTGAACACGAAGAACTAAACTAGATATATGAGGTCCTATATATATCCTTAGTTCTTCCCTAGTAGAATGGTAGATGGTAGACTGGTAGATGTGCCTTGGTAGGATCTACCCGTATACCATCATACCCATCTACTACCTGCATGATCACGTGGTCAGGCTAACGTAATTCTAATATTCTTATGGGGGAGAATATGTGTTTGTGCTGAGGGGGCCGTAAGTGGCTCTACCGGTACCTAGCGTTGTGGTGTAATCTGACTGCGTGTTATATGATCCTGATGGGTCGGTTGATCGACTGGTCTACGACCGCCTATCAACAAGTTGCGGCCCTATACTGATTGGTGCCTGGTATGTCCGTAACATAGCGGTAGCGAGGGGGATACGAATTCCCTGATTTAGTATTACCGCTATGTTAGGCAGTGTTTTAGAAGAATGGATAGGCTGTAGAATTCCTGGATAGACTTGGGGGGAGTGAAGTGAAGGGAGATAAGGTGGAATATATGCTATGGCTCGGGGGTGAGCGGCGGATGTTTAGGGAACGGAGTTCGAATGCAATTGCGGTGGTAGAGTGTATACTACGGTAGATAAGCGGCGAAATGCCAAGGTAAAGGGGACTTATACTCCTCTATAAGTGAGTTTCGGTTATACTATTGTCGGGGATGATATTAGCGAATATAGTAGAGGAGTAATTCAATCTACCGTAGAGGCTTATATAACCCTTGTATAAGGGTGGGGTTCGAGGAAATGCAAGATAGGTAGTATATCTAGCACTATATTCACAAACGCTATATCAGTTCGAGGGTTCTATAAGAGATAGCAACCGTAGTTTTAAAACAGAGAGAGGAAATATAGAATTCTGACGTAGAGGGTGTAGATCTGGATAGTTTAAGTAAGCGGACTCCTCTTTATTAGTAGAGTAAAGGGTATACGGGTTAGATATAAAAGTATATAGTGTTATAGGAATAGAGAGAGGCTTAGGTAGTGGATAAGTAAGGATATCGAGATATCGGGAGAAGAATTGAGAGATATACGGAGGGGAAGAAGGGATAGTCTAAGGAGTCAACCCTAGGGAGGAAGCAATATATATCTGATCTCGACAATAAGGATAGTCTAGAGTAGGGGTTCTTAATATTGAAAGAGAGGAATGTTTGTAGAGAAGGAAGCAAGCAGGGCTTAGGGTTTAGGGTTTAGGGTTTAGGGCTTAGGGTTTAGGGTTTAGGGCTTAGGGCTTAGGGCTTAGGGCTTAGGGCTTAGGGCTTAGGGTTTTAGGGGGC